AATGGATTTGGAGGCGGATCTTTTTTACTTTTAACCTTAGTCTTGAAAGGGCCATTTGTGCAGTCTGAGCTAAGATTGACTGAGTTGGTTTTTCCAATGGATAAATTGTTGGTTTCCAGAGAGTTCTAATTAAAACATTCTGTATTCATCTCACAGTTGGTGGTTTTGTTAGCGGTAAAATTGTCAGTTTTTGAAGAGCCCTTATCTAAATTTTCCACATTCATCTCACAGTTAGTGGTTTTGTCTATTGAGAAACTGTCAATTTTTGGAGAGCCCTTATCTATTTTTTCCATACTCGTCTCACAGTTGGTCGTTTTGTCAATGGAGAGGGTGTCAGTTTTTGAAGAGTCCTTATCTATTTTTTCCATACTCGTCTCACATTTAGTGGTTTTGTCAACAGCGAAAGTGTCTGTTTTTGAAGAGTCATCATCTAATTTTTCCATATTAATTTCACAAATAGTGGTTTTGTCAATGGAGCAAGCGTCTGTTTTTGAAGACTCCTCATCCAGCTTTTCCATATTCATCTCAGAGTTGGTTTTGTCGACAGAGAAAGTGTTTGTTTCTGAAGGCTGCACTTCCAGGGTTTCCACATTTACCTCAGAGTTGCTTATTATATCAAAGCTAATGTTTGCTTTACTACCAAGGCTCCCAAAGCCAGAACTGGTGATAGCCTGGTCAAAAGTTTCACTTGGAGTAAACTCTTCAGTGCCAGCAGATTTCAGTTTTGGTGAATTCAAAGGTTTACTGGTGTTTTGCTGATCATCAGAGGTAGACACTGTTTCCGAGGATGAATAGTTAGCACTTGTGGTTTCCATTGTATCTTCTAGAATATCTGCACAAGAGCTATTGAATTCATGATCGACAACTGTATTTTCTGACGGTGTCACAGACTTTTCCTCATTCAGTGTTTCACAAAAGCCTTCTTTCTGGATTACTGCTGAGTCACCTTGACCTGATGGATCGACTTCTTGATCCTGAAGTGCCTGTTCAGCACTTATCGAGGGTATAATCTGGATGCTACTAAAATCTGGAGAGTTTGGAGGCAAGTTCGAATTTCTCATCGTTTCTTTCTTTGTAACCAGGCCATCTTTGTATCTGCCAGGTTTATAAAGAATTGCAGGATGAAGATGTTTCTGTCTACAAATATTTCTGCCGAAACAGTCCATGCGCAGATCTCCCTTTGTGTTGAAGCTGCTGTTGTCTTTTGATGGATTTTGTGAGATGTTATTCTCACTTTGAGAAAAGAATGGATTTGTGTGCGTCTCTCCAAAAGGCGTTGGGGTGCAGAATGGTGTAGAGGGGTAAGAACCTACGTGGGTGGAATTCCTGCTTTCCATTTGGGACATAAATTGCTGCATCTTCTGCTGTTCTTTCATACGAAGCTTCTCGATATCACTGGGTTGAACTGGTAATTTTGGAGGTGCCTCCCTCTTATTTTTAATTACCTCCTTGATGACCTAGATATAATTTGAAAAAAAATTACAAAAATCAATTATGGACACACTTCTATAATCCTTCACAGCTTCATCAACAATATTTATAATATATAATTTGTGAGTAAAGTAAGAAGGTTAGTTGCGTATCCTTTACAGGACTTTGCAGAACCAACTCCAACAGCTCCTGGCTGTTGTGTGTGGTTGTTCTAGGCAAATTTACGTCCAGTAGTTTGCCATTGCTGCTGGACGGTCGGCTTTCTCGATACCACTGTCGACACCAACGCAAGGCGCATGGTCAGCAGCTGAGATCGAACCCGGCATCCTGGCATTACGAAGCGTTCGCATCGAATTAGCCACAGAACCGACAAGTAAGTAAGAAAGCAAACGATATTTTTTTATTGACCAATCAACAATAGATTGACGACACGGTCAATATCATACCGGTCACCTTTACTTCACAGGACAACACCTTGTACTCATTTTTGGCTGGGCCCACCTGCAAGCCATGTTCATTTTTGATGTTAACAAAATCGCCTAGATGAGGATTTGAACCCTGGACGTTTGGTTCGGCTGAGTAGTATCTAGCTGTTAAATCAGTTAGATGTCATCTCCACAATGAAGGTTGGTTTCAATGGATCTCCAAAATTCAATATCTTTTGGTTGTAGACTCTTTGAGACTGCGGTTTGTCTATCTCTTGATGTAGACCTCCCACTTGTATCATTGTTTACCTCTTGCTCCCCTACTATTGACATTTTTCGCCAGCATGCTTTTTAAAAGAGGGTGTTTTCTAGCTGTTGACAACTACAGCTCCCATGTTATTTATTATTTAATTGTATGTGTGCTGCATCGGCTCCTAGCTTATGGACTGGGAAGGCAGTTCTAAAAGCCTGAAATATTACGAGAAGAGACGGCTGTCAGCATGATAGGGACATCAACCACCGAGTGTCAATTTGTCTATCTTCTTCTTTTCATCTGGGTTCACACTTAATAGGCTTTCGTTTTTCGTGGGCACAGGAGCGGAGCAACTATGGGGTGACCCGTTTGCTATGAAGCTGAAACTAGGATTACCAGATTACTTAATAGGATGGCTGGTATATTGTAGTTTATAGCTAGGCTGTGATATCTGCATTTTTTTCAGCCTCAAGACTTTCAATTTTAGCAAATCCCTAACTATTTGCCTTTTACAACATGCTTGTTAGGATCCAATGGGTGTAATCTCCCCCCTTCCCCCCGGCCACATTTTTTAACACTTAAAATGGGTCCCGGAATCCACATGGTGAATTTGTCTATCTAAATATGAGACTTAGATCATATTTCTCAGACATCTTAAGATGTGTTAACTTTGTGAGTCCCAAATAACGCATAATGTATGAATCACTCTATCTACGGAATCCCTTTCCTTAGCCTTATATGTTCTCTGAACTTTTTCTTCTCTCCTTTTATTTATTTAGTCAGAACACACTCGAGAAATCTGGCTTGACAATGGACACGACCACTGTTATAATACTTTTCTAAAACTAATGCATTTGTGAATTTTAATGGCTAGAGTCTTCACTGGCACCTTATAGGAAATCTTCTTCTGGTACTAAAATAGAGGATGGTTCTTGTGCTCACACTGCCTGCCTATAAAATGCTGACTGGTCTGTATAAATAGGGAGCTAGCATCAGTTACCCGGGCAATATATATTACTTACTTACGTCCTTTTCAGGACGTAATTTTTTTCTTATTTGAAGCCCCACTCTGGCTTTTGTCAGGGGCCGTAATATAGGCAGGCCATCAATGTGGCCAATTGTCTGAACGCGGTTTCTGGGACCTCTCCACGGTGATCCTCATCCGCATGGTGGCACTTTGTGTCATCGGGTGTTTATCGCTTGTGTGATGTCCTGGTGGGGTAGAAAGTCAGTCAGTCAGTCAGTTACCCGGGCATCTGCGACCGGGTCGCCCTCTGGCTGGTCGGTAGACGGCTTCGTCGTCGGTCGGGACAAAATTTAGGTCAGCCTCTCTTGATCCTATCAATTAGCACTGCAAGAGTCTTTTTCAGAGCTACTTGGTGGCGTGCAGTGTTAAGCCATTTTTTTATGGCGCACATAAACCTTGTCACAATTATAACCATAAGCTCCCCCTTTGGGGATGCTGGTTGAACGTGACGATTATTCCCCCCCCCCCCACCCCCCCCCCCCAAAAAAAAAGTTTACATGGGAATGTTTAGTAAACTTAATACTTAACTTAAGATTTTTAATTCTAATGTCAAATCAGTACTGTTGCATGGAGCGAAAACATGGATAATAACTAAGGCAATCACTAATAAACTACAAACATTCATTAACTAGTGTCTGCTAGGAATAGAGGGAATTAAATGGTATGATAGAATAATTAATGTAGAGATTTGGGAGAGAACTAGACAAGTTCCAAGACCCAGAGGTGAAAAAAAAAAAAAAACTGGCGTTGGATGCGACACTCGTCGAGAAAACACGAGAACAGCGCCTGAAAAGTGGAAAATTGTGTATGGCTCAAGCAGAAGACACAATATGACAAGTACGCATGCTGGAGAACGGTTGGGGAGGAGAGGAGTGGGTCAGAGTAGGGTTATGATCACATTGGATCGGGTGTGCAGAGAGTGGCCAGCGGGTGCTACGGAGGTGGAAGTCCAACGATTGTTTCATGAATATTCACGCCCAAGTGATATGATTATCTAAACTAATTGTTGGGTGTTGACAGGAAAGAAAAGTGCCTGGGTGTTCGTAGCTGCGAAAGCCAATGAAAAATCTTAAGTGTAAGACACCACAACATCTAGCATGAGAATGCAGGTGGAGGCGGTGACTGAAGCTCTCTAGTGGCTAGAGAACAAGATGTATACACATGTCATAATTGTCACAGACTCTGAAGGCATGATGAGAACGGTAAAGACATGGATGCTTCGAGCAGAGTGTCAGGCTTCACTGGAAATGTCACGGTAGTAAGCATGCTTTGCATCTTTTCTCCAGGCCATGCCGGCGTGGTGGGTAATGAACAGACAGACAGACTTGCTGGACCTCACCCCTGGGTGGTGACTTGATACAAGGCAGATGTGATCAAGGCCCTTTGGAAGCAAGCAACGGAATCAGTAGAGAAAAAAGACTATTATGGCCTGGAGTTAATGAGGCACCTGGGAGTAACAGGGGGTCTGGCCGGCTCACTACACTCAGAAGAAAGGCAAGACGGATATATAACCAGATTTTGACGGATACCATTACTGGAACTCTGCCCTGGCTGCTGAAGATGAGGACGGAGCATGCATTGGAATGCCCTGAGTGCTGTGATGTCAATTCTGGACTCAACTTAACTCAACTCAATCTGATAATAATACAAAAAGACTGTATCTTTGCATTGGAACTTACAGGGGCATTGCAATAAAGGAAGACAACAACAAACACACACATGGAGAAAGAAGCTTGAGAGTGCAGTTAAAGAGATATGGAGGACAGGGAAAGAGCTGCATGCGATAGCCAAAAACAGAATAACTTGGCGTTGAGTTGGTTGAGGGCCTATGCTCCATTGGGGGTTAGAAGGCAGAAGAGGAAGATTAGTAAACTTGTCTTACCTCTTTAATTTCATCAATGTGTAGAAGCGTGTTGAACTCTGTCAACTGACTGAGCCGCTCAAAGTCACTGTGCGTGTACGTGAAGTTGAAGGTGGAGTACGGTGCTCTAGGGTCGTCAAATAACTGAAACTCCGCAAACTCGAACTCTTCTTTTGTTTCTCGTGGAATTTCTGTACAATAAGAATTAGAAGCTATAGATGTTGAATGTTGAATTAAGAATCGACATCACCAGCACTCTGGACACTTCTTCCCATCTTCAGCAGCAAGTGAAAAGTTCGAATTCCGATGGTACAAGTAACTGTCTGACTGTATATCCGTATCGCCTTTCGACTGAGTGTTCAGCGTCTACCAGATTCCCTGTAACTTTCCACAGCGTCATTCTTCTTTCAACGTATTGATATATTTGTGACTGCACGGTTTACTCGCTCCCAAAGGGCCCTCACACCATCCAGCTTGTCATGCATCAGTTCACTACCAAGAAGTGCAGAACCGGCCAGACTAGCATACATCACTCCACAACCAAGTGGTTCACAATGGCTATTTTCCCACCACACCGGCATTACCTGGAAAAAATAGCCAAAGGACCCTAACACACCTCTAAAGCTATTATTGCCACTCTAAACGCAGCAGGTCTGTCTCCACCTTTCTCAACATACCAGGTCTTGCTGTTTAGAAAAGGACTACTCCTGTAGCTTTCAGACAGTGGTACAAGACTCACATAATGGACGAGATAAGAAACTCGAACTCACTAGATAATTTGCCTAAAGCCATTTATTTGGGTGGACTGCAGATAATCGACGTCCTGGAGATAGCACAAATCGTATTTATTTGTATCTACTTTTTGCTTTTGTTTCTGTCTTATTTGTCAGCCAGTATGCAAAACAATTTCTCATTTTTTTCCCTTGGTCTGTGGGCGTTAAAATTTTGAAGAACACTGCTTTACCAGTGTCTGACGAATTCAGGCATTTGGTAAAGGCCCTTTGGGAGCAAGTGAACCATGTAGAGGCACGAATGGATCATTATGGTCTGGAGAGAATAGTACAGCTAGAGATCTGACCAGGGTATCTGATCAACACTCCACTTCTTCCTCTTTAGTCGACTCACAGATACCAGGTTGTGGCCCAGTGTCGTGGTTTTCTGTACTTGTTTTGCGCTTCTCCGGTGGCTTGGGTGATGGATTTGTTAATCTCTCCCTTGATCTTTGTCTCGCCTTCCTCACAGATGTTCTGCTGTAAAAAAGTCGCATATGCACTAGATGGCTGAATCATTTCATTCTTTGTCTGTCAATAAAATCCTGACAAGGTCTTATTCCAACTTTCTCTCTCTCTCTCTCTCTCTCTCTCTCTCTCTCTCTCTCTCTCTCTCTCTCTCTCTCTCTCTCTCTCTCTCTCTCTCTCTCTCTAAGGCTGGTATTCGTAACTGTGTCTCTTTTTGTGTTGTTAGCGACCCTGCAAGATGTGGACTGTGCCTGGCTCTGCATCCAGCAGGGTTGGGGTCGGCTAGCTTCTCTTAGGAGAGGTGAAAAGTGAAAATTAGTAGCCTGCCGATGACCCACAGTACACATAAGTCAACCTCTCCTCCCAGTGGTGCAGACCGGGAAACTGTGGCCGTGAGGCCACAGGCGAACGAGGCTCTGGCTCGCCAGATGGGATGGGGTCCATCTGGTCAGATTTTCCCTTAAACTGCGACTGGCCTAGCAAGCCGGCAGTGGATTTTTTATTGCTACGAAAATTAGAAAGGAGATAAATAAACGGATAGCCCCAAACGGAAAATGGACTGGAAACGTTAAAGGACGACGAGACAGAAAAACGACTTACATAGGCACATGGAACATATGTGGTATTGCCAACAAAGAGCCACAAATAGTGGATTTCATGAAAAGAAAAAAATATACACGTCATGGGTCTTGCGGATACAAGAAAGAAAGGATATAATACAAAAGAAATACATGAAAATTATGTTTTAGTATGGAGCGGAGTACCCACTAAAGATAGGGCAAAACATGGTGTCGGATTTATACTTCATCCCGAGACAGCAAAATTAATAACAGGAACAGAATTTATATCAGAAAGAATTATTTTAATCAAGTTGACAGAAGGAAGTAAAACTACAACGATTATTCAGATATATGCACCTTGTAATGATAGTTACTCTGAAGAAGAAAAAGAAGACTTTTACGAGAGACTTACGGACACCATCAATAATGTTAAAAGAGAAAGAGGACATCATAGTAATGGGAGATTTTAATGGTAGGGTAGGTAAAAGAAGATCACCATGGGAGAGATACCTTGGCCCATTTAGCGACACAACCACAGATTGCAATAGAAATGGAGAACACCTGCTAAACTTGTGTGCTGAACAAGATCTCTACATTACCAACACATTCTACCAACATCGCCAAAGTCAGGTTAAAACGTGGTACAAGTGGAACAACTTAGATCAAGCGTCACAAATTGATTTTATACTAGTCAGACAACGGCAGAAGAGGAAGGTAAGAGACTCAAAAGCTGTCCCAAATGCGGGACTGGATTCAGACCATCGCCCAGTAGTTATGAACATATGCAACTCAAGTAGAAAACAGTCTACATAAACAGAAACGTGAAGAAATCATCAACACTAAGAAATTAGAGGAAGAGAATATCAAACATGAATTTGAACTAGAAATAACAAAGGCTTTTGCAGATATTGCCAAGGAACCAGTAAGAATTGAAGAAGAATGGGATTATTATAAATCAACCATCACGAAGATATTAAAAGACAAGTGTGGTACCAGAAAGACGGGCAAAGGCAAGAAAAAGGGTACCGCTTGGTGGAATGAAGAAGTCAAAGAAGCAGTGTCAAATAAAAAGAAGATGTTTCAAATATGGTTAAAAACAAAAGACGAAAAGGATTACATTAGGTACAGACTAACTCGAAGAGACACCAAGAGAACAATAAAGAAATCAAAAGAGGACTCATGGAAAAAGTATGGTGAACACCTAACACAGCTATGTACAGAATCATCAAGAGACTTTTATAAGAGTGTGAAAGCGATGCGATTAAGAGAAGAAAGCTTCAATCCAACATCAGTCATAAACGATAAAAATGGAAAACCATTATTCAGCCAAAAAGAAATTAAAAAAAAGATGGGAGGAATATTTTAAAGAACTTTTGAACCCGTCGGGAGTACATGAAACAGCAGAATTCCATTCAAGGGCTCCAGATCATCTAGAACCACATATCCTGCGGGATGAGGTAGAGAAAGTTATCAAAACAAGTAAAAGACACAAAGCAGCTGGTATCGACGGAATAACAACAGAAGTCATCCAGGCTGGAGGGGACACTATGATCACCTGGCTGGAGAGAATTTTCAATAGAGCATGGGCAGAGAGAAAGGTACCAGTGGATTGGCAAAGATCAGTTGTAGTACCTATCTGGAAGAAAAAAGGAAACAAGAGAGAATGTGGAACTTATAGAGGAATATCATGTGGGGAAAATGTATGCAAAGATCTTAGAAGGTAGGATAAGAGCATAGGTTGAACCTCTACTGAGTAAAGCACAATTCGGTTTCAGGAAAGGGCGAGGTTGCACTGATGTCATATTTGCACTAAGACAAGTCTGTGAAAAGACACTCGAATACGATAAAGAGCTGAACGTGGTCTTTGTAGATCAAGAGAAGGCATTCGACCGTGTGGACAGAGATGTGCTGTGGAGAATTCTTGACGATTACGGAGTGCAGGGTCAATTATTAGACAACATCAGAGCCCTCTATGAAAAAAGTGAAAGTGCAGTAAGAACATCTAGTGGTCTTTCTGAATGGTTCAAAGTCACAACTGGTGTCAGACAAGGATGTGTACTGTCACCATTACTTTTCATAACATACATGGATAAGATCACTGTAGAAGCAAACCCAGACGTGTATGCTATAAACGAATTACTTTTTGCTGATGATCAAAGCATACTGTATCAAAAATGAATATGATCTACAGGAACATCTGACTACTCTCAACAACAGCTGTTTACAACATAATATGAAAATCAGTACAGAAAAAACAGAAGTTATGAAGATCAGCAGAACACACAGGCCACTGAATATAAATGTTGGAAGTGCCAAAATCAAGCAAACCAAAGAGTTCAAATACTTGGGCAGTATATTTACAGAGGATGGAAGAATGGACAGAGAGATAGAAACAAGAATACAGAAAGCAAATGCTGTCACATACCAACTATCACCTCTGCTTAAACATCCAGATATAACCATGAAGACCAAAAGACAATTGATAAACACCATCTTCATTCCAACACTCTGCTACCAGTGCCAGACATGGACAATCAACAAGACCCATGAAAGAAAAATAGAAGCCCTGTGAAATGAAATGTCTAAGAAAAGCAGCGAATAAGACCAGACTAGACAGGATAAAGAACATAGACATTAGAAACACTGTCAAAACTACACCATGTTTAGACTACATAGAACATCAAAGAATGAAATGGTTTGGACATCTAACCAGGATGAAAAATGACCAAATAACATCACAAATTTTCAACCAAAGAAGCTCAGGATATAAGGCAAGAGGAAGACCAAGGAAACTGTGGATTGACGGGGTCTCCGAAACCTGCCAAAAGCATGGCCTCAGAACATCAGATGCTGCCCGCCTTGCTTATGACAGGAACTTGCATCTCCCCCACAACGCTTAGCGGCATACGTGGAAGGAAAAAGTAAAAGTAAGTAAGTAAGCGACCCTGAGGAGACAGTGTATTTCACATGTAATTTTCTGTTCCGGTGCCCTATTCAGGGTGGATATATAATCAGACTGCATACTGGCACCATAGTGACTCTTTGCTGGCTACTGAGGATAAGGACTGAGCGCATCGGAAATGTCCCATGTGCTGTGATGAAAATTCTTAGCTGAACACTCTTCTTCTTCGTCTTTTTCTTCGTCTTCATCTTCTTTTTTTTTTCGCGTTCACCGGCCGTAAACTCTGGCTAAAAGTTCAGGTCGTTTGTCCGCACCTAGACACTTTATTCCTGTTCCAATACGTCAGTACTGTGTGGGCACCCGTTTTACAGATCTGGCTTATCTGTATGCAGACTGTTAGTCCCTTGTCTCTCCGACAGGTGCACACCGATTTCGAAATAAGCTTCCAGATAAGTCGACTTTTGGGACATGGGTGGGGGGGGGGGGGGATATAGGGTAGATGTGTGTGGAGAGGTAGTTGGTCTGTTCTTGTTTTCTCCACACGACCTGGGGGGAAGGGGGTGAACACTCAACACTGCTATAGATGATAAGCAACTAATGTTACGCTTTAATATTTATAAATATATATATTTAAAAAAACAACGTTTAAATAATATCAACAAAGGTAACTCACCTGGTTTCTTGTATAATTTGAATTTCCGGTTGACGAGAACAAAATGTAAGACAATCGGACAGCTGTTGTCAGTGGGATGGCGGAATATGTACAGCTCTTTGACGTCATCTTTGTCAAACACCGATGTATCGATTGGAGGAAATGGTAATCTGTTCAGTTTTGCCCATTTCTCTGCTAACAGCAGCTCCTAGATACAAGATGGGCAACCGTGAGTTTAATGAAGCATTATTGTAGGTTATTAGACGGTGAAGTGCTGATATTAACACATATGTTCATCACTATTGTCATCTACAGTGAGAAAATAAGCATGTAAAAAGTTATGTAGAACCTGAGTTAAGTCAAGAATTGACATCAAAGCACTAGGGGGCATTCCCATGCGTGCTCCGTCCTCATCTTCAACAGCTAGTGCAGAGTTCCAATACTGACGGTACCGGTCCAAATCTGGTAGTTTTTTCGTCTTGCTTTTCCTGTGAGTGTATGAGCCGGCCAGATCCTCTGGTTATCACCCAGGTGCCTCATTCTCTCCAGGCCATAACAATCTTGTTTTTCTACTGATTCGGTTGCTTGTTCCCAAAGAGCTTTGGCAACACCTGCCTTGTCATGTATCAATTCACCACCCAGAGGTGCAGATTAGGCAAGCAGAAAATAAACACCTACTGACAGGTTTTGATTTTTGACTTTTTTTTAAAAATATCCAGAAACCATGAGTTGTTTACCCTTTGGCTCGGTACTATTATTATCGCAAACCTTCGGCCTTGATTCCATGATAGATACCGTAAATCTGGGAGAAATGTGGCTTTTCTGCTTACCCCTGGGCGTGAACCCGGACTACAAGGAGTTCGTCACACAGTCGCCGCTCAGTGAAGTTCAACCAACTGAGCTAGCCAGCAGGTTCTGAAAAGATGATATACTTAAATAATTTAACTCTTTCAGTCAAAGCTAATTTCATCAGCTACTTCATTGGCAGGCCGGTAGACGACTTCGTCGCTGATCAGGACAATATTTGGACCTTTCTCCTTTGATCGCATCAACACTGCTAGAGTCCTTTTCATGGCTGTTAGTGGCCTGTAGTGCAAAGTCACTTTATATAGCGCACATAACCTAGTCACAATTATAACCAAATGCTTCCCCTTTAGGAATGCTGGTTGAAAGTGACAATTTCTTTTTCGCAAAGCAAGCCAAGAAGGTAATTTCATAGCAGATGCACAATAATACATTTAAAAATCAAGAGTGTATTACTTTTAAAAAGTAAACCCGCACTGTGTTGCATGCTTAATTTCTTCAATTACCCAGATATCTTCAGCATGCTCAGAGCAAACATAACTGTTTTTTAACTGTTTACCACTTTTTAATACAGGTATGAAAGGGGTCGGGTGGGTGGGGGGAGGGGAAGGGGGTTCTAAGTCTGAGAATTTAATCTTTAGAAACCACCAACTACATTTTCCCTCCACCCCATTACCATTTGTGACTTATTGACTTTCCCTCGTATATTCTGTGCCCACCTTCATGTTGATCGGCCATTGACCCTCCTTCCTGGTACCATGCCTTCTGCTATTATTTTTTCCCACTCCACTATGGAGCTTGATATGACCAAAATATTTCAGCTTCGGAGACAAGATACTATTTATAAGCCAGTCTTCCTTGATATTCAGATCTTTTAAAATATCAGTATTTCTTATCTTCTTTTCCCACGGTATTCTGATAATCTTTCTATAGCATTTCAGCTCAAAAGCTCCCCCCCCCCCCCCCTTTTTTTTTTTCTTAAGGACAGAGATAGTTCAAGACACGTTAAAATGTTGATATATATTGTGTGTGTTTGTGTGTAAACAATAGCTGATTACACACTGTGTATTCTGTGTGATAGAAAGAGTAAATGCATTCAAACTTCAGTCAGTAATATAAAATACAGAAAAGAAAATGCAGAAAACACAAACTCACCTTGAAAGGCTGGTCATTATCAGATGGCCTGGCACTAAAATCAAAAGACAGTATTATATCAACAGCTCTCTGAGGTCGCAGAACCAATGGATACGGGGAATTGAAAGCCAAACCGGCATCTACCATGTAGATATGCTTCACACTGGTCGGGTGCATCTCAAAGATGCCTGGATGAAATTAACACATGCGTCTATAGTTACACGAGTCAATCAGTCAATCAATGAAGCAATCTTCTTCTTCTTTGTCAGGTAGGCACATATGTATGTATGTATGTATGTATGTATGTATGTATGTATGTATGTATGTATGTATGTATGTATGTATGTATGTATGTATGTATGTATGTATGTATGTATGTATGTATGTATGTATGTATGTATGTATGTATGTATGTATGTATGTATGTATGTATGTATGTATGTATGCATGCATGCATGCATGCATGCATGCATGCATGCATGCATGCATGAATGAATGAATGTATGAATGTATGTATGTATGTATGTATGTATGTATGTATGTATGTATGTATGTATGTATGTATGTATGTATGTATGTATGTATGTATGTATGTATGTATGTATGTATGTATGTATGTATGTATGTATGTATGTATGTATGTATGTAGGTAGGTAGGTAGGTAGGTAGGTAGGTAGGTAGGTAGGTAGGTAGGTAGGTAGGTAGGTAGGTAGGTAGGTAGGTACGTACGTACGTACGTACGTACGTACGTACGTACGTACGTATGTATGTATGTATGTATGTATGTATGTATGTATGTATGTATGTATGTATGTATGTATGTATGTATGTATGTATGTATGTATGTATGTATGTATGTATGTATGTATGTATGTATGTATGTATGTATGTACGCACGCACGCCCCCCCCCCCCCCCCCCCCCCCCCCCCCTTGCGATCTGGATTATTCGTAAGCAGATTGTTTGTTCCCTCCCCTTTCAGGCAGACGAACTCCAGCTTTGAAGACAATGCCCCAGTTAGTTGACTTTTATGACAGACTTGTTAGGGAGAAGTGGGTTTGTTATTTTTTTTTCTCTGCCCATCTGCGTCCCGAGACCCATATAGGGAGTTTCTAGGATGACCATCGAGAGGTGTAGATAGTCCTGACAAGTACCACAGCCCTGTTTGTGGTACATCATCGTGTGTTTCACACCTCCACATCCCAGTCAAACAATGAAGTGTCATTTTTATTTTGAAAAATGACTGCAGTGACTTCCAAAACTTCCGGTCTCATATTTAGGTGGTCAGCTCAGAATTCTTCTTCTTCTTCTTCTGCTGCTGCCATCTATCCCTCAATGAAGTACAAGCCCTCAACCAACTCATGCCAAGTCGTTCTATCCTTCGCTATTGTCTGCAGCTCTCTCCATCTCCTCCCTATATGTCTAACTTCAATCGGATAGTTTCCTTCTCCATGTTTTTTGTCTTCCTTTATTTCTACGCCCCTGTAGGTTCCAATGCAAAGACATTCTAGTTATACTGTTCTCAGGTTTTATCAACCTGTGTTCTATCAAATACAAACGTTTTTGCATCACCTCTTGGTCGACTAGAACTTGTTTAGTTCTCTTCCAAAACTCTAAATTAGTGATCCTATCATACCTTTTAATTCCCTTTGTTCTACGCAGGTACCAGTCAATCAATGTGTATAGGTTATTAGTAACTGCCTTAATGGTTCTCCATGTTTCTGTTCCATACAGCAGTACTAATTCGCCATTAAAATTAAAACAATGGTGTTCATTAATCGGTTGTTTTGGCTTCCCACTTTTGCACTGTTTAGCTTCTGCTCGGTTGTCTTCATACTTTGCCGTAGTATGGTTTACAGAAGTGTCATGTCTTTTAATGTAACCAGAATGTTTCACTTTTTGTATTTCTTCCTTCAGTACTCTTTTAACTTCAGTTTCTAATATGACCTCTGCATGTGTTTACTTTTTAATGATTGTGGGCTGGTGAAATACCTTATGTAATAATTCTACGTGTGTATAGCCAAATTATCGTGCCCGACTACTTTCAATCAACGACAGGCATTTTTGGTGGTGATTGTTGGCTTTGGCCCCTCTAGCAACGGCTATATACATTTACTGCGTGCCCACATTTCTGGATTGTGTCAGGACTAATTGTTTGTTCAACAGTTTTTCAAATGGGACAGTGAGGGACATATCATTTGATTTTCGTTGGAATGGAGCAAGTACGGGGAAACCCGATTGTAGTGAAGCTGAAACCTCAACTAAGCCTAAGCCAAAGACTTCTTCCATGAAAACCAATATTATTCTCTGTAGTCTTTGCACTTTTATGAGTCCTCTATCATTTCAATGACAATGGACGATTAGTAACGAAGACACAAATGAAAACTCACCATCAAATTCATCTCCTGGAGCAACCCTCTCATCAACTGGGGTGAAAGGAGACAAGGGGTACGACTGCTGTAAGGAGAGTCCACGCATGAAGTTGTGTATCACAGCTGCTCGCCCACGCCTGGTACTTAACAACTCCCATGAATTGCTGGCAGAATTCACAATATGAGTATTAACTCATGAACTACCAGATTAAAATACATACGAGGATATCATCATCTTCACCCTTTGTCCTGTTTGTACGTAACATAGGGGTAGTGTCAATGGCCTCTATCCCCCCCCCCCCCCCCCCGCCCGCCCCCGGTGTAACTCTTTCGATGTCATGTATGAAACCCTGTACGGGATCAATAGCCCCCTTTATCAATTTTCATCACAGAGTTTCTCATGAACCTCCTCGCTTTCTCAAACTATTTATTTCCCATCTGAGTGTCTGCTTTGTTTTCTGATGGTGCCCACTCATCTCAGAATGCACCCACTATGTCACCATCTGCTTCCTCTAATAACTGCTAAAGCCAGTGATTGTCCATAAAAGTCTCTGTTCTCTTTGCCTTTCCCAAAATCACCCTGCTAAGGGTTCATCCATTTCATGGTGGCAGCAGTCCTTTTCACTACTTTTAACCAGAAAATGTGTTTATAATCTGAGATTTACTTGTTTGTTCATTTCCAGCATTTTCGCTGCAAGGCAAGATTAGGTTACTAATTTTTAGGCTGTAAATATTTTACAGAATATCAAAGCAAGGTTTCTTTTTTATATTTGAACACAGAAAACCCGACCAAGAGATTAAATTGATTTATTACCTGGCGTATGTCACTGTACCTCGTCGGGTCATATGTCAGTTACACATAAATAAAATGAAGGACACTATAGAAAGACATGATCATAACCTTGCATTTGCTCTGGTAAAACAGGCAGCTACCTTAAGGTAATTTTTATTTCCGTTAAAATGATTTTTTTAACTGCATAATTTTATCCAACTGTTGCAGGCATCTGTCGAAATGCCGCGAAATACCCCAGGCAATAAATTACGCAATCAATTGTTTGTGTCTTCCTTGTTCAAAGGCACAGGATACGGAAAATACGTTTAGATAGGTTTTTCAGACTTACAGCTGTGTGGCAAACATCTAATGGTGACCAGACACCTTCTAAAGACCTACCTCCTTCTTCTTTTTCTTCATATTCACTAGCTGCAAACTTCGATGGAAAAGAATAGTTGTTTGTCCACTTCTGGACTTTAGCCTTGTTCTATAACTTGAGTTTTGCTTGCACGTCAGTTTGTTCTATAACTTGAGTTTTGCTTGCACGTCAGTTTTACTGATCTGGCTTATTTGTGTGCAGACTGTTGGTTCTTAGCCTCTCAGGCAAATGCTTAAAAACTTTGAAGAAAACGTCGACGCTAGCTACGTTTATTCTTGTTGTAAGTGTAGTGCTTGTCAATGGCGGACTGTGGCTACATGTTGATATATAAGGCATTTTACAGACAGATAAATCACCAGAGTCCCATTATGCAGTGTTTGGTTTAGTCACTAGCCTCTACCGAATAACAGATCAGTTGCCTCCATTTTTGTTAGTTTGATTTAAAGGACTTTATTTTTTTGCAAGCTTGAGACCTGTTTATTCAGCAAAAATCTGTATCCAGATCTTCATTTGCCTACCTCTTCTTCTTTTCCCATCTACAGTTCCCTGTTGTATCATTCTGGAGAGGTAGATAGATCTTGTGACATCTCCATGCTATTGCATTTGTCCTCTTTTCACTGTTGTTTAAACAGGTTGATAGATAGTTGTCCGTGTACTCAGTAGTGACATGGCGAACTACGTCATTCGGAAACGCACTTTAGACAAACTTCTTCTAGCATTCAAACACATGATCACAGAAACATCTAGAATAAGTCCAGGCCTGGAATAAATGAAAGTCTCACGTTTAAGATCCAATGACATTCTACGCTCTAGAACTATCCTAATCAGTACTTCCTCTCTTTCAGCAGCTAATATTTACCGACTCTTTTACATGCTTAGGTGTTGCAACCATGCTTCGTAATAAGATTATGGATTTAATTCCAGCTGTTGTGGATTTGGCAGCAGATCGCTGGACGTTGATTTTGACAATGGTATCAAACGCTGACTATTCTCAAAGCAATGGCAAACTACTGAATGTAAAAATTGCTTAGTAGAACCACAAGCAGAAGAAAATATAGGGATTGGCTTGCAATGTTATGTAATGGATACACAACACATTTTTACATGCTATATTTCCAACCTTGTCATTGAGAGTTAGAAAAAGAATTCTTGCTTGCTACATACATTCAGTTTTAACATATGGATGTGAATCCTGGACAATCGGTAGGCAGGCCAAACAATTTTTAGAGGCCTCAGAGTTGTGGTTTTACAGAAGAATGCTTAGAATACCTTGGACAGCCAAAAAGAGCAACCAAGAGGTTTTAAAAGAGGCGGGAGCCCGAAGACAACTTATCACTGACATCAGAAGGAGACAGTCATCATTTTTCGGCCATGTTATGAGAAGAGGGAAAATAGAACATGTTGTGACCACTGGAAAGATCTGTGGAAGGAGGGATAGAGGAAGACAACGAGAGAACATGCTTGACAGTCTTGTTGCATGGCACGGAGGTGTGTCGGCACACGAACTGATACATGCTGCAGGAGATCGCGGATTATGGAAAGGCATGATCGCCCACGCCAGTCGGCAAGGCACCTGATGATGATATTTCCAACACAGATAAAGGACAAATAAAACTGACCTCTCCAGTATTCCTTTAAGAAACTGCTTCCAGAAGCTCCGAGAACCACTCTTAGATTTTCTCACAGATGCACAAGAAATGTAAGCCTTTCGTCTATCTTTTGCCTCCATGGTAGGACAAGTACCCCAGTTGACACGTTTTTTACAATCAGACGAAAGATCAACTACATCTTCTGTTGACGGTCTCTTCTCATTCAGTTCATTAAGAGAAGACTGAGGTGAAGATGTGGACTCAGAAGCATCTGCCAGTCCTTGAAAAGAATCACTCTCTTGGCAGCCATCATGGCTTTTTGACTGCTGAAGAAGGGTTTCTTCCTTTTTTTCCTCATTTGCTTTCCTCATCAGTTTTTGACTATTTATATTTGTTGACTCAATAGTTTTGTTGGATTCCTCAACTGAAATGTGCTCGTTAGTTACATCTGCTGATTCCATAGTTTCACTGGATCCTTCCTCTATAACTTGTTCACAATGCAAATCTCTCTCCTCGTCATCATTACCACAATCATCATCCTCCTCATCATCTTCCACATCGGCATCACATGATGAATTTGTATCTATGCTATCGTTTACAGTGATGTCGTTTCCATTTTCCACACTTTCCAGATCTGAGTTTTCCCCCGTATCCACATCACAAAGTGCACTGCTATCCATATTATTCAGAACATCAACATCTTCGCCTGTTTCTGGTATATTGTGTGATGTTTCTGCAACATGGTGTGATGTTTCTGCAACATGGTGTGATGTTTCTGCAGCATGGTGTGATGTTTCTGCAACATCGTGCGATGTTTCTGCACAGTTTTGTGATGCTTCTGCAACACCTTGTGACGTTTCTGCAACCTCTTCTAATATTTCTGCAACATCCTCTATTACGTCTGCAACATCTTGTGTTGTTTCTATAACAACTTGTGATGTTTCTGCAACATCGTGTGATGTTTCTACACAATTCACCTCGTCTGACTGAGGTTTTAATATCTTATAAATAGCCCACGGTACGCTGACGTGTGTTGCTACATCACTCGGGGCAATCCTGGCCTTTCGTGAACTCTGGATAGAGCAGGATTCACTGTCCAAACTCTCTGTGCTGTCCATGCTGCAATCGTCAAATTCATCCTCACTACAGTCGCTAGAACTGCTATCGCTGCCTTCATCCAACCGCTCTCCCATCGCTTCTCTGACCATATCTGTTGGGTCAATTTGATGATTCTCTTCCAACAACCGTCTGAATAAGATGCAGAATGCACTGCCCCAGATTCCTGTAAACAGTGTTCAACAATGCAAATTGTTAGGTTATATTATATAAAAGAAGTGCTAAATAGAACATAAAGTGCAACTAGAAAGTTCGACAGCGGAAATGGAAAACACACGCAAAAATTTCACGCACAAATGCAAATGAACGTTTCCACCAAAGTCTTTATCAACCAGTGTACTAAATACAACACAAACTGTGACTGGAAAACTCATGGAGTATTAAAAAGTAAGTAAAAATCCCTTTACACGCCCTTAGGCGCATCGGGCATATTAGGAAGAGCACCCATATTTTTACAGACCAATCGGCACTCGGTGGGTAATGTGGTCAGCATTACGCCGGCAGTCTTTTACTTTCCCAGGACAGCCCCATCCTGGTACCCATTTGAGGCTGGGTTGACCTGCAACGTCCCATTTTACGATAAAAATCCACGGAGCCCGCAGTGGGTTTCGATCGCGGTACGTTGGATTACGATTCGTTCTCGCAACGCCTTAGCCACGGACGCCGCTTCATGCAGTATTAAATACTGATCAAACTGTGACTGGAAAACTCATGGATTACTAAATAAACACAAATTGTGACTGTAAAACTCCATGTCCTTGATTGGAATCCTTCAACTAATTCAAGTTTACTATTTACGTATCTAGATTCCATAGTCCCAGGAGATGCTTCTACCATTACCTGTTCGTAATTTAAGTATCTCTTCTCCCTAACACCATTGTCATCATCTTCAAAATCGTTATCATATGATACGTGTGTGTAAATGCTGTCATTTACAGCAACTTCATTTCCATTTTCAACACTTTCCAGATCTGAGTTTTCCGGTGTATGCATTTTATAAAGTGAACTGATATCCACATCGTTTCAAACCATAACCATCATGCGATTTTTCTGCAACGATCTGTAATATTGCAGCAAGATCTTGTTATGTTACTACAATGTCGTGTGCTGTTTCTACAGTATCTTGTAATGTTTTTGCAACACCTTGGGATGTTTCTGCATATACTTTATGGTATTTCTGTAACGTATTGAAATGCTTCTTCGTCACTATGAGATGTTTCTACAGAATTTACATCTTCTGACTGAGGTTTCGATAAATACTCCAAGGTATGCTGGAAAGGTCACGGGTAGTGAGCATATTTTGAATCTTTTTTCCAGGCTATGCCGGCGTAGTGGGTAATGAACAGGCACATAGATTGGCTAGATCAGCACCACTGGGTGGTGAACTGATACGCGACAAGGCAGGTGTGATCCTTTGATAACAAGCAACGAAATCAGTAGAGAAACATGATTATTGTGGCCTGGAGAGAATGAGGCACCTGGGTGCAACCAGCGGGTCTGGCTGGCTCACTATACTCAGAGGAAAGGCAAGACGGACATATAACAAGATTGGGACCGGTATCATCAGTATTTGAACTCTGCGCTGGCTGCTGAAGATCAGGACGGAGCATGCATGGGAATGCCCCGAATGCTGTGATATCAATTCTTGACTCAACTCATTTCAACTCAATTCAAATAAACGCAACTCAACTCAACTCCAAGGTATGCTAACATGTGCTGCTATATCTGGTCAATATTAAATTCAAATACAGACAATTTTTGATTCAGACAAATAAATTAACTTCATGGACATCTGATGAGCTTAAAAATACAGTAAAACTGAGACAAAAGCCACAATTAAAAATAAAAAGATAAAGTCGGGAGATGTGAACCAGCGTCATTGCACACGGTTATAAACCATAAGTGCTCTGCCACCAGTATGGATAGCTGATAAAAAACTGTTCGCCTGTGTCGCCGTCCGCACGCAACTCCGTAGCTACAGCGACGTTCCTCTATTCACCCCATAGTGTTAACTCTGGTACCTATTACCTAGACCTAGAGGCTTGGGCAACCCCGGGAACCAACCGGTTTCGAACACCGGCTGGGGACTGCATCGAGTCGCAGATAAATTTGAAAGCGAGTCTCCTATCGACTGGGCTAACGCAGGCCCCGAATTTAAATATACTATATCTTATAGGTTTGAGCAAATAAACAGAAAGGAGAAGATATCGTTTCAATATCACGTAAGTATTAACTTCGTAAACGGACAATTATAATTTGTAACTGAAGTTAAGATTAGAAAGTTCAAATAACATGTAAACTATACAACTGACCTTGCAGAAAGTGAAGTGGTTGTTCCTTGAATTCTTTGACCAGTTTACCCATAAAGAACTTGCTTCCAAACAATTTAGCATCCATGAACGTGCCATATTTAGGCATGCCAATCTCATAAGGAGAAAATTCCACCCATTCTGCATAAAAGATGGTTTACAAAGGAAAGTTAAAGTCAAGAGCAGTGACTTCATTGGGCCAAGTTTTTTCCTGTATTGCTCAGTCAGTCTCTGAAGAATGACTAGTCACCTGCTGGCAACATCATACAAAGCACAAACTCCCTAACTCGAGCAACGATCCCCTAGAGTCTCCATAAAAATTGTAATCAGAAACTTAATTATGCAGTCCTGAATTAACCCACAATCATCATCATCATGTACCATTTACTTTGCGAAACGTTGCTCTCGTCACTGTCTGCCTGAAAGAAACTCGGTCTCTCGCCAGCGCTCCTGCCTCCTGTTCTTTCATTTTCAAGGAGTCACTTATATCCTCTGTCCATCTTCGTGTTGGTCGGACCCTGCCCTCCTTCCTGGTACCATGCCTTCTGCTATTATTTGTTCAGCCATAGCACAGGATATGACCCCCACCCCCTCCCAAAAAAAATTTCCCCTAAACAGTTCATTAATATAAACGAATATAATTTTGCTTCTCTAGTTGTTGAAATGGGTAGAGTAGTGGCTAGACGATTGCCTGCTAGATCAAAAGGTTTGTGCTCAAATCTACATCAAGCTGGATTTTTTAAACTTTATCTTGGCTCCCAGGTCGATCCGGCTTAAACTGGGTACCAGGTCCTGGGAAATACAGGCAGCGGTCTGATTCAAGCCACCACAGCCACCGAGTGCCGATTGGTCCATACAAATTATGAGTCATCATTGTCCTGATGCCCGACTGGCCTGATAAGGGCCATTTCAAAGACAGTAAACATCTTTGACTCTTCCAAACTACACATCTGTCACTTTAATTAGTTATATCTTAACTGTCTGTTTTATTCCTTCTGTTGTATTATCAAACTTCTCTGGACTCAAACGCCATACTCTTTAAAATAAAACCTTTTTAACGGCTTTAAAAGTTAATAGTAATTTTCTTCATCTTCTTCATCATTCATCTGGGTGACGTTAATGCATTGTACGTGCTTCCGGCAGTATTTGTGCCTTTCAGTCAAAACATTCGACTTCTTCGTGCATTTATTATCTGGTTTAGCATTCCTGACTGTTTTTTCGTGGGACATTTGTAGTCTGGCGTGTGTGCTGACAGTCGGCTCTGTGGCTAAGTCGATGCAAACGCTTCTTAATGCCGGGATGCCGGGTTCGATCCCATTTGCGGGCCACGCGCCTTGCGTTGGTTTCGACAGTGGTATCAAGAAAGCCGACCGTCCAGTAAGCAATGGCAAACTACTGGACGTAAATTTGCCTAGAAAACCCTCACAACAGCCAGGGGCTGTTCTGCAACGTCCTGTAAAGGATACGCAACTAACCTGTGTGCTGGCTGTTGTGAAGTGAACAGCCAACCCCACACTAGCCTAGTCGTGACGCTGACGTTACATTTCAAATTTAAACTCGTCCGGCGGGGGGGGGGGGGGGGGGGGGTATATAGTCCCTCATAATATTATATACCTCTATCTGGTGAAATAAACATTTCTATACCCTCTAGTTGTTTTGAGAAGTCTACATTTTCAAACTTGCAACTGTGTGATAGATATTTCGGGAATATTATTGAGAAATTCCTGTTAGCCTCTTTACTCCTTGGGCATGAATACAAGGACTTCTTTTCTAGAGACGCCAAGTTTAGTCTGGGGCGGGGATTCTTTTGCCAGACCGCTGAGGTGTCGGGAGACTTTTTAAGTCGCTCATTTAATTTGGCGCTATCAAAGTACCAGTTTAAGCTTTGAAGGATTCCTAAGCTTGGAATGATACCTCCTTAGAGGTCAGGCAGACGAATCACAGTCCAACCAACAATCACCAACCCATACCATTCCTATCACCAAACCTACCCAAAAACCCTACCTATTGTTGGCATAACTTCAACATGGCAGGAGTTTGCGTGTGAGTGAGTCCCAGTGGCTGAGAGACAGTATTGCAGGCTACCTGTGTCACCAATCCAAGAAATCCTTCTTCGGGAGCTTTGTTGGGCTCCAGTGCAGTTCCTTTGTCCTCGTATGTGAGACGATCAGTATTTACCAGATTAACCAGAGGAAAAACGATTTATTGAGTCAGCCGATTCAAATCACCATGGACTGAGGAGAACAGTGACCTACCAACTCTGATAAGTACCATCTGAGATGACATACATGCTCTCTTTATATTGCTACATATGAGTCACATGGATTATTCATATATTCTCAGAACGGTATCTGGTTGTTTCAACATCATTGCTGTGAGGTTGAGTCCTGACTCCATTCACTGGAAACCATCTTGATTGTCTTGATATTTATATATGTATATGTTGAAATTATTACAACCTTTTTCAGAAATTTTCATGGCTGACTTGGGTGTCCCTAGTTTTATGTTTGTGTAATTAGTAAGTGTAATCTGTTTTAACATGGCTATGATAGTATACTATCATAACCTGGGGGCTATCTTTTTATAGTAGTGGGGGTGTCCAGCCAAGCATGCCTAGGAATACTAGATATTTTGTAGTGCCAGAGCTTGAGTTGCCCTACTCCTGAAATAAGTTGGGCGTATATTGGCCACGGGATCTCCCTTAGACCAATACGAGCCAACGCCTAAACATTATTATTTCAGAGTGCTGTTGGTTCTTAAGGTCCTTAAATCAGGCACGCGACACGAGTGGTATGTGACACTGACTTCGTCACTAAATTGATTCACAAGAACTGTCCTAAGGGGATCTATCCTGGGCAGCCGTGTACAAGATTGTTGACCCTTAAGATACGGGCATTCCCACCCATTCAAGGAGCCTTCTAAAAATGCACAGCCGATACATGGTGCTTCAGTATACATGGTACTGGGCTTCCCCAAGGAATCATCATAATAGTAATCTAAGGCTGGCACACCCCCCCCCCCCCCCCCCCCCCACGCAAAAAAAAGCTAAAATACTGGTCTGATGAGAAGCCACTTTGAAACTGTGTTTAATATGCAAGCCATAGATTTAAGATCTCACTAAGGTGGCTTTTGACAATGACCTGAGCTCCTAGATGGACCCAGCCTAAAATGGACACTAACAAATGTCCTTTAAAGTAATGGGTGACAGTATGACTCTCAAAACATCACTCACTGCATTCTGATTTGTCTATAGAAAAAAAAGAGCATCAGCGTCATATGCCTACTACAGGTCAAGGCATGAGTTATGAGTTATGAATTGAGTTATCGTCATGGCACTCCGGACACGTCAACAGGTGCTCAGATTCCTCCTTCAACATATACATCAGCGTCCGTGGTTAGCTGCACCAGTCTTATGGCGGTTAATTAACAAGACTTCGTATAAGTCCAGGGTGCTTCGAATGCCTGGCTGTGCCGATCTTTACTACCAGTTCTTGCACTCTTAGCAGTAATGTGGACATCCTGCTCCGAAAATCCCCCCCCCCCACCCCAGTCTCTAAGGAGATTAACAGTGTTGGTATGATCCAAAGGCCGGCCATCTGCAACTAAGTCAGAACCGACCAGTCTGTCAGCTCTTTCGTTACCAGCAATGCCTGCATGCCCTGTGACAAAGATAAAGGTAACTCCATGCATAGTGGAGTTTTAGATCAAGATTTGGGGGTGGGACTTTGATCTGTCTTTTTGAGTGGAGTAATGAAATGGTAACTTTCCTGTGTGGAACCTGGTGCCCTATTGTGGGTGGGGTGGGAAAACCTAAATGACCCCTAACTAGGATCACATAAAGGGCAAGTAATTAGGATTTTGCTAAAAGTGGATCTGCTGTGATGGTTGCAGATATCACAGCCTGTCTGTAAACCACATAAATATGTGCCAACCACCCTTTTCAGGGTAAACGCAGAAGAAAAAAAGCAACGTAAAGCAGGATACCAACCTTGAAAAGATCTAGCAGGGACATCTTTCTTCACATGGACACAGGTGTAAAGTGGCATGGGGACAGAACCATCTTTGATTTTCTCCCGCTGGTCAGTGAGAGTTGTCTCCATTCTCTAAATATTAAATTGTTACGTTGTTGATTAAAATATTAAATATTTACGTTGTTGATTAAAATGTTGTTACACTGTTGAGAATTGTTATAATACTGATAATCTGAAATCATCATCATGTAGCACATGAAGCTCAACCATGGGTCGAGATCCCATTTAGGGTCACGAAGGATTCTCTGTGAGAATCCTGATTATAAAAATGCAAAACAAAATTCACATCCTTGTTTCTTACACAGAAAATTTATTTTCCATGTTCTTTCATATACTCCATTTAAAAAGTATTGTTGTTGTTTGTTGTTGTTGTTGTAATGTATAGGGTTGAGGATCACCGTAATTGATAAAAATCTAAATGTAGTCGATTGATTCACTTATCTTGGCAGTACTTTATTTCAGAGAGTCAACATCGACAACGAGATCAACGCTAGAATCTCAATTGCCAGCAGCAGTTTCTTCAGACTTCATACAAACGTCTGGAATAGAAGTTGTATCTTCCTGCTGACCAAGCTAAACGTTTACAAAGCTGTAATTCTTCGAGTACTGCTCGATGCTTGCGAAACGTGGACTTTATCAACGGCATGCTAAAATGTTCAATCAGTTTTAAAACTTGTCTCAGAAAGCGGCTCAAAATAAAATGGCAAGATACGATCGAAAATACTGTGGTTCTTGATAGAGAAAACCTGCCTAGTATCCACACGATACTGATGAATTATCAGCTGCGTTGGGCTGGTCACCTAGCCTACGTGCCAGACTATCGCGTCCCCCCCCCCCCCCCCCCCCCCAAAAAAAAAGTATTTAATAGCGAGCTCCAATGGAGGACAGAAAAACCCCCGCTATCAGGACACTCAAAACTGCTCTCAATTCTTTTGGCATTAATACAGCAACATGGGAGGATGTTGCACCGGACCGTTCTAAATGTCGAACATCCCTTAGACATGGCTCATCAGCCTGCCAAGGCATATATCAAGATGGAATTTATTTTATGTAAGAATTCTCTTTCTCGTTTCTATTGACAAAGAAAGATCTCATAAAACATTGTTTATTCTGTAAAAACCGTCCTATGCTTACGCTGTTTTACATTTCACTTCTTTAATGCATCTTCCATCTGATGTTATCAGGGTTCCCAAGTACTTAAACATATCAACCTGCTTGCGGTTTGTCAAATTTACTTTGATGTTGCCTTTTTGGTTGTCAGTTTTCTTTGTAATTACCATTACTTCTGTTTTTCTACTATTCAAACTAAGACCCTTGTTTTCACTTTCTGTTACAACTGAACTACTTATGAGTAAAATTATGTATACTTGGCAAACGAAAAGATTATGATCAATATTGTGTTTTGTTTTCAATGTAAGTTAATGTTTGATACATGTTCGTACAACTAATGTTTTTAATGTATGTTATGGTAATGATGCATGTTCCTACAACTAATATTTTTAATGTAAGTTATGGTAATGATGCATGTTCCTACAACTAATATTTTTAATGTAAGTTATAGTAATGATGCATGTTCCTACAACTAATGTTTTTAATGTAAGTTATAGTAATGATGCATGTTCCTACAACTAATATTTTTAATGTAAGTTATAGTAATGATGCATGTTCCTACAACTAATATTTTTAATGTAAGTTATAGTAATGATGCATGTTCCTACAACTAATATTTTTAATGTAAGTTATAGTAATGATGCATGTTCCTACAACTAATATTTTTAATGTAAGTTATAGTAATGATGCATGTTCCTACAACTAATGTTCTCAAACAGGAGCGATGTGCCTCTCCGGGGCTTACAGGTTAGCGAATCAACATATTCATCACCCTGAGGTACTGTGAATCGTTCCCACGATTTTGAAACGTCCTTGTGGTGTTCGGACAATCGTACGAGGGTGGCACTTTGGAAGAGATTGGGGCCTCACTACATATTTTCCAAAGGCAACACTGTAGCCACCCTTCGTTGTGTAGACGACATAAAATACATACGATGGACTTTTAAGATTCATGTGATGTATTTAAAGAGTAAATTCAGCGAGTAAAGTCTCTCAAATGGCATTAATTATATCCTTTTTGTTAACCGAAGGTCGACTTCCTAGAATGGCAGTTCAATATGACATCTGCTCTTTCATTGCCTTTAACGCTTGTCCTGTGACAAAGATAAAGGTAACTGTATGAAGCTCAAATTACATTAATTATATCCGGTCTGTTAAACGAAAGTCGACTTCCTAAAACGGCGGTTACAATTTTTGCATCTGCTCTTTCGTTGCCTTTCACGCTTGTCCAGGCACAAAGGTGAAGGCATCTGTATGAAGCCCTGTATTTTGTAGTGAAGAATATTGATGTTGATGATGATGATGATGATGATGATGATGATGATGATGATGATGATGATAACGATTGACTATTCTTATAAACTTACATCTGCCAACAAGGTCTCTCCAACCATTCGGCCAAAGATGTCGGTGAAGCTGACAGGTTGGCCTTCTCGTCGTTTCTCAATCATAAACTTGACATAACTGTACATGGTTGAAGCATTCAAGAATCGCAGCAAACTTTTATCTATGCAGTGTTTGAGCTCATCCAAAAACTCGCCCATGTCCAAGTCTGGCCACTTGGGGTGGGAATACAGGGTGGACACAAGCCTGAAGATGCAAATGTTTTTAATATTTAACTCACAGTAGCTGCAGGAGTTTCAAGGAAAGACAGAATACGAAATCACGAAATCAGACGAATGCTAGGAAAAAAGCCAGTCTTTACAGGTCATCAAAGAACTACAAATGAAGTGGTTTGGACACCTAACAAGAATGCCCTGGTACTATCTGCCACAGCGAGCCACACTAAAACGTTACGATTAGCACAGAGCTAATGGAAGACCTCAGAAAATATGGAGTGATGGCATTAGGAACAGCCTTTCAGAAATGAACATTATTGCTCTTGACAGAGCTCATCAACGAACATTACATCTCTCCCCGACATTTCGATGAGGTAGAAGGTGGAAGAGAAGAAGAAGTATTGTACACTGTTACATGGATACATCAAGCGTGTATCTATCGTCTGCATTGAGTTATGACTTAGGAATCAACATCATCCTTCGGGATATTTCCATACCCGCTTCGTACTCATCTTCAGCAGCAGGCACTAAGTTACAATTCTGATGGTACTAGTAAAAAATTGATTGTTTTGTTCATCTCACCCCTCCTCTGAGTGTTCATCGTTGGCCAGATCACCTCGTCACACCTCGCTGCACAATTCTCTTCAGACAGTGAGTATCTATGCACCATTTTTCAAAGACTGATGATCTATATGTGCCTCAGCACTGTGTACTTAATCCCAAAGGGTCCTTGAAACGTCTAGCCTGTCTTGTATCAATTTACCACCAACTGATACAGAACCAACAATCCTATCTGCCTGTTAATTTCCCAACACACCACCACGACCTTGAAAAAATATCTAAAAGACTCTTCCTGGCCAGGAAACTAGGAGACACTGCTAAATAGATATCACACAACAAATACTGCAGAGGAACGAAACTCCGACTCTACATGAGCATCATTTTGCCAGTTCTTCTTTATGGAGCGGAATGCTGGAGAATGACCAAAAAGGATGCACACAAGCTGTCCACCTTCCACCACACATGTCTACGTAGAATTATCAATATTTTCTGGCCAGATACAATCTCAAACACTAAATTACTTCAAGTCACAAACCAAGAGCCACGTTATGAGAATGAATCCTTATATACCTGTCAAAACAGCTCTCACATGGACACTAGAGGGAAAGAGAAAACAGGGGCGCCCAAAAACAACATGGAGACGAACGATGAAAAGTGACCCGAGTGAGGCATCTTTGACATGGAAAACTGCACTGAAGATTGCACAAGACAGGAAAGCAAGGAAAGTCCTCTCGGAAGCCTCATGGGCCACTAGGCATAACGAGAACTGATGATGATGAGATATCACACACAATGTTAATGAAAAATATATGGCATTTAGGGGCAATACAATATTACATACACTTTAGGTATTGAGAAGATTAGGTATCACACAAGTGTTTTCAAAGCTCAGTCTTGAAAGGCTCAGACAGCAAGGACACACTGGGAGCTTGGAGGACAAAAGAGTCCCTAAGGAATCACGGTTAAAAAAAAATTGTCCGTGTCAGCCTCTACTGTGATTGAAAGATGTGTGCAGGCGAAACATGGATGAAATAGTTATTGAGATGGATTAACTGGAATTGGACACCGTGGATAGTGTTTCATGTAGGGAGGAACAATAAGAATGTACAAGAAATAAAATATTTATGATTGCAGACAGTTTGTGTACCAGAAGATTAAAGTAACGATAGTCACAATGAACATAAACAAGGTTTGTGAGAGCACAACTGTCACAGATACAGCAACAGACATGTCGAGTTTGGTACTGAAATAATTAGCTTGGCTGCTACAGTATTCTTAGGCTAAACATCAGACCACGTAGTAATCGTTGTTCGTTGTATTGTATACACAGACAAGACCTAATCATACCTGACATGCTGAGTGGGACCGAAAGAGTTAAAAGTGTGTGATAATAAACGTATCAATATATATGTGATTGCAACAATGGTCGGTGCATCTCATGCACTTATTGTGGAAAATCTTTCTTAACGACATGTGATTGCAACAATGGTCGGTGTATCTCATGCACTTATTGTGAAAGATCTTTCTTAACGACATGTGATTGCTACAATGGTCGATACATTTCATGCACTTATTGGGGAAGATCTTTTTTAACGACATGTGATTTCAACAATTTTGGGTACATCTCATGCACTTATTGTGGAAGATCTTTCTTAACGATTGTGGAAGATCTTTCTTAACGATATGTGATTGCAACAATGGTTGGTACATCTTATGCACTTATTGTGGAAGATCTTTCTTAACGACATGTGATTGCAACAATGGTCGGTACATCTCATGCGTTTATTGTGGAAGATCTTTCATGAGAATGAGTTTTGATAGGGGTTATTATGTTGGCAAGTCAATTTTTTACGTATGATATTAACACAAATGTTGAATTAAATAACAAAATAAAGAAATAAAACGCATTATAAAGTATAATGCCCACAATCCCAGAATGAATATAGAATGAGTTATTGATGTCAAAATATCAACAGAGAGTAACTCGGTCACTGACCATGATGAGCCTGACAGACCACAAGCGTACATAGCACAGCCCAAGACACCAGATTCCACTAAAGCTTTGAACACACCACTGTATCCTGTCATTGCTCGGAATCCACCACCTGAACCTATCACGGCTATAGTCGGCACCTGCAATATGAAAGAACAATAATCCCTAAAGATTTATACTTAAATTTAGATTAGTTCATTAAAAAAAATTGTGAGCCTTCTTGGCATTTTTTCTTCTTTTTTTAAAACGACAGACAATATTTGTAATGACTAAGATTGTCTTTATCCTTTTCATCATTCCCCCCTTATGTTATCTTTCTTTTTTTTGCCACTAGATGTTAGGCCAGCAGCAAGCTCACGTCGTCCTATCTATTAGTATTACTATTTCCTTCAGCTCTCCTTCTGCTCTCCCCAGCTTCTAATTTACGTCTCCTTGTGTTTTTAGATCTTCGCTTATATTTCTTTTCAGCTGCACTTAAGAGGCAAAATATTATAGCTATGTTAAACAACTGTGAAAAAGAGTTAACTTGACTATGCTAGCAATAACTACTGTTACCTCTTCAATATTCTGGGGACCATTCTCATCTCCAAGGAGTTTCCTCATTGCTTCCAGTATATGTTTCTTCCTTTTCCTGATGAAGGATTTTTCTTGATGGCTCAAGCAAAGGCTGTACCGCAGGGTAGGGTGACGACTGAAGAAATTAGAACGAAACACTACAGTGTGTTTACAGAAGAGACTTTTAAAGATATAATAACTTATAGCTACAGGTAACAGGGAGCCTATAGTCACTCGTCTGTGGATCATAAGGTCATGGGTTCAAACCCTTGGAACTTGACTTTTTTTCAAAACGACCTTTGTTTCCAGACTGGCCCAGATCAGGCAAATTCATGTGAAGTATAGGCGGCCGGTATGATGCTGACATCACCAAATAGTACTAGTTGGACTATAAAATGTAGGCCGTGTCCAAATTTGCCGCATACGCCTGATGGCATGGAAAAAGAGATGTTCTTTATTTTACAGGTAACACACCCTTTAAAGATAGGGTAACATCGTTAGATTGTAATAATATCTCTGAGAGAAAGTTGAAATATTATTAAAAGATAGTGGTAACATCCTTGAAAGATGTGAGTAACATCATTAAGATACCGAGATAACATTATTTTTTTAATTATAAAATCACAGGAAGTTTTTAAAAAATCCTCTCCCCTACCAGATTTGCATTCTGTGAGATTACCTTTGCAAGAATGAGAATTACACCGCTACAAATACAGGAAACCCTGTTCAAATCCACAGCCAAATAGCACATATATTGGGGCATCATAAAAGGGTTTCATAATAAACAATAGTCTAGTCTGGGTAAGTTGTTGAATTGTGATAATGAAATAGAAAGTGGTACCATCAGCAAGTCTTATAAATAACATCAATAAGGAATAATGGCAACATTATTCAGAGATATAAAGGTAACATCAGTGAGAGATGACTAGTAGTAGTACATTTTACCCAACTAGAACATCACACAAGCGATAAACACCCTATGACACAAAGTGCCACCATAGGGTTGAGGATCACCCGTGGAGAGGTCCCCGGAAACGGCGTTCAGCCATTAGACCATATTTATGGCCGGGCTGTATTGTGGACCCTGGCAAGGGCCAGGGTGGGGCTTCAAAATCACGAAAAATTGCATCTCAAAAGAAGATATCATTGAAAGACAGTAGCAACATCAAAAAAGAAATACTGGCAAAATCACTAAGAGATAAGGGCAAGATAGATAATGGTAGTATCATAGAAAGACAGCGGTAAAATCAAAAAGGAATAGGGGCAACATCACTGAGCAAGAGGGGCAACATCACTGAGACATAAGGGCAACATCACTGAGACAAGGGGCAACATCACTGAGACATAAGGGCAACATCACTGAGACATAAGGGCAACATCACTGAGACATAAGGGCAACATCACTGAGACATAAGGGCAACATCACTGAGACATAAGGGCAACATCACTGAGACATAAGGGCAACATCACTGAGACAGGGCAACATCACTGAGACATAAGGGCAACATCACTGAGACATAAGGGCAACATCACTGAGACATAAGGGCAACATCACTGAGACATAAGGGCAACATCACTGAGACATAAGGGCAACATCACTGAGACATAAGGGCAACATCACTGAGACATAAGGGCAACATCACTGAGACATAAGGGCACATCACTGAGACATAAGGGCAACATCACTGAGCTGAGGGGCAACATACATAAGGGCAAATCACTGAACATAAGGGCAACATCACTGAGCCATAAGGGCAACATCACTGAGACATAAGGGCAACATCACTGAGACATAAGGGCAACATCACTGAGCCATAAGAGCAACATCACTGAGCAAGAGGGGCAACATCACTGAGACATAAGGGCAACATCACTGAGACATAAGGGCAACATCACTGAGCCATAAGGGCAACATCACTGAGACATAAGGGCAACATCACTGAGACATAAGGGCAACATCACTGAGCCATAAGGGCAACATCACTGAGACATAAGGGCAACATCATGAGCAAGAAGGGCAAACATCACTGAGACATAAGGGCAACATCATCACTGAGCCATAAGGGCAACATCACTGAGCCATAAGGGCAAACATCACTAAGACATAAGGGCAACATCACTGAGACATAAGGGCAACATCACTGAGAATAAGGGCAACATCACTAATAAGAGCAAACATCACTGAGACATAAGGGCAACATCACTGAGACATAAGGGCAACATCACTGAGACATAAGGGCAACATCACTGAGCAATAAGGGCAACATCACTGAGACATAAGGGCAACATCACTAAGACATAAGAGCAACATCACTGAGACATAAGGGCAACATCACTGAGACATAAGGGCAACATCACTGAGACATAAGGGCAACATCACTGAGACATAAGGGCAACATCACTGAGACATAAGGGCATCACATAAGGGCAACATCACTGAGACATAAGGGGCAACATCACTGAGACATAAGGGCAACATCACTGAGACATAAGGGCAACATCACTGAGGGCAACATCACTGAGACATAAGGGGCAACATCACTGAGACATAAGGGCAACATCACTGAGACATAAGGGCAACATCACTGAGACATAAGGGCAAACATCACTGAGGGCACATCACTAAGGGGCAACATCACTGAGACATAAGGGCAACATCACTGAGACATAAGGGCAACATCACTGAGACATAAGGGCAACATCACTGAGACATAAGGGCAACATCACTGAGACATAAGGGCAACATCACTGAGACATAAGGGCAACATCACTGAGACATAGGGCAAACATCACTGAGACATAAGGGCAACATCACTGGAGACATTAAGGCAACATCACTGAGACATAAGGGCAACATCACTGAGACATAAGGGCAACATCACTGAGACATAAGGGGCAACATCACTGAGACATAAGGGCAACATCACTGAGACATAAGGGCAACATCACTGAGGACATAAGGGCAACATCACTGAGACATAAGGGCAACATCACTGAGACAACAAGGGCAACATCACACTCACGAGACATAAGGGCAACATCACTAAGACATAAGGGCAACATCACTGAGCCATAAGAGCAACATCACTGAGACATAAGGGCAACATCACTGAGCAAGAGGGGCAACATCACTGAGACATAAGGGCAACATCACTGAGCCATAAGGGCAACATCACGAGCAATAAGGTCATCAAGGGCAACATCACTGAGACATAAGGGCAACATCACTGAGCCATAAGGGCAACATCACCTAAGACATAAGAGCAACATCACTGAGACATAAGGGCAACATCACTGAGACATAAGGGCAACATCTGAGACATCAATCGTCATACATAAGGGCAACATCACTGAGACATAAGGGCAACATAAGACATAAGGGCAACATCACTGAGACATAAAGAAGCAAGAGCAGGGCAATCACTGAGAACATAAGGGCAACATCACTGACATAAAGAACATAACTGAGACATAAAGGGCAAAAGATCACTGAGAGAGGAGCAAACATCACTGAGCCATAAGAGCAACATCACTGAGACATAAGGGCAACATCACTGAGACATAAGGGCAACAGCACTGAGACATAAGGGAAACATCAACATGAGATAGTGGTAGTTTAAAGAGAGAAATCTACAACAGAATGCGTCTATGAAGGCAGTCAGAAAAGAAGAAGAAGATATTTAAAATTGAATTATATTTCTTCATCGTCATACAAAGCGCTATAAAGGAAGTGAAGAAGAAGAAGAATTGAAGAAGAAGAAGTGAAAAAGAAGAAGCAAAGAAGAAGAAGAAGAAGAAGAAGAAGAAGAAGAAGAAGAAGAAGAAGAAGAAGAAGAAGAAGAAGAAGAAGAAGAAGAAGAAGAAGAAGAAGAAGAAGAAGAAGAAGAAGAAGAAGAAGAAGAAGAAGAAGAAGAAGAAGAAGAAGAAGAAGAAGAAGAAGAAGAAGAAGAAGAAGAAGAAGAAGAAGAAGAAGAAGAAAAGAAGAAGAAGAAGAAAAGAAGAAGAAGAAGAAGAAGTTTTATGATAGTGATAATGATTATCGACGATAGACAACATTTAATAAATTAATGAGTATTTTCAGTTACAAAGTTTGTATCGATCTTGTATGCGTTCACATCTATGTCAGTTTAAGGATAGTGACAGTCTATTTGTTCTATCCACAGCAAGTATCATTCTTTTTGTGTGGTAATTTATTTGGTTCTCTCACTATGTTTATATTCAAGACAGTCTCTCTCTCTCTCCCTCTCTCTTTCTCTTTCTCTCTCTTTCTCTACAACAACAACAGCAAACAGTGCTTGTGTCAAAGCCAGACAATTCAAACAAACAACGTAAACGTTGGACATTAATGACATACTCAAACTCCAGCTTGAACTCAATATCCACTTCTGAAATCTGTGAAAAGGGAACCAGCCAAGCATTAGTTTTGAACGACACATGGAAAAGTAACAATCTGATTTGAATGATGAGGATGATGATGATGATGAAGATGATGATGATGATTGTTATTATTATAAGGACAAAAACTATATCATGTTTCGTAGTAATGATAGTGCTGTCGAATGTGTCATGTTTGGTACCTGGAGAAAAGAAAACAGTAAAGTTAACGATGAATGTGACATGGTTGGGGAATACCAGAGTGGGAGATACCAATGATGTTAATGATAACCATGATATATCTGGAGATGAATTCCTTCCTCTTTCACTTTCTTCTTCTTCTTTGTTTTTTTTCTTTTTCTTCTTCTTATTATTCTTCTTATTTATCTTCTTTTTCTTCTTCTTTTTCCTTTTCTTCTTCTTCTTCTTCTTCTTCTTCTTCTTCTTCTTCTTCTTCTTCTTCTTCTTCCTTCTTCTTCTTCTTCTTCTTCTTCTTCTTCTTCCTCCTCCTCCTCTTCTCCCTTTTAAATTCTCATTCTTTCTACTTCCTTGTTCTCTCCATTTTTTAATCTTCACCTTTCTCCTTCTTTGCGTGTTTCTTCTTTTTTTCCTCTCCTCTTTCTGTTTTCCTCCTACTTCTTCCTCCCCCTTTCTGCTGCCTCCTCCTTCTTTCACTTCTTCTCCTTCATTGCTGGCTTCTGTAAATGCCGCGATGACCTCAGTGGCTAGCTTTTAATGTCTGTGTGGATGTTTCTACCTCGAAACTAATCCGCTGAACTGTAACTAAAGAGCTTAGCGAAGATGAGAACAGAAAAAAAAAAACATATACAGGAACAACCAGATTCCCCCCCCCCCCCACCCCACCCGACCCCCTGCAGCCACTATTGACAGGTTGTACCTTCCAGGGGGCCTGGACAAACTTCTCATTCTAGTTGTGGTTTTAGCAATACAGGCCGCAGCCGAAATGTTTAACTGTTCCTGTGTAAGTGTTTTCTCCCTTTCCCACCTTCGTTAATCTTTCTAGTCACAGTTGAGTAGATTCATGTCTGTATACTAAGTTGACTATGACAGCAAGCATGGTATAGAAGCTAGATGCGCACCTGTGGATCAGGTCATGTGTTCAAATCCGAACTTAGCCGGATTTTCGTTTTTTTTTTTTTAAACGACCTTGACTCCCAGGTCGACCTAGCCTTAAATGGGTACCCTCCAAAGTCTTGGCCATATCATCCACTGAGTGCCGATTGGTCTAAAGAATATAGGTCTAACACGGTATGCCCTATATACCACGATGGCGTGGAAAATGTCCTTTAGCTTGATTGGAGTCGCCCGTGCTTTTATCACACATTTCTACTATACACACTTACATCGTAAAACACAAACGTCATACTTACATCGTAAAACACAAACGTCATATTACATCGTAAAACACAAACGTCATACTTTATAAAGTTAATTACAGACTTATATCGTAAAACACAAACGTCATGCTTACATCGTTAATTACAAACGTTATACTTACATCGTAGAACACAAACGTCATGCTTACATCGTTTTTTACAAACGTCATACTTACATCGTTAAACACTAAAATTATTCTTATAATGTTAATTACAAACATCATACTTACATCGTGAATCCCAAACGTCATACTTACATCTTTAATCACAAACGTCATGCTTACATCGTTAATTACAAGCGTCATACTTACATCGTTAATCACAAACGTCATACTTACATCGTTAAATACAAACGTCATACTTAGATCATTAATCACAAATCACAAACGTCATACTTACATCGTTAAACACAAACGTCTCTGTCTGCGGCTTGTCCATGTCTCTGATATTGACTATGTCATAGTAGACGGTCCCAACTAACTGGTCAAACCAGTAAGAATTTGACTCCATCAGGCTGATTTCTGGCAGAAGACAGGAGAGTTTTATTTTTTTTAAAGATATTATGATATTGTGGTGGGCGTTTTTGGCTTAGGTGTTGTGAACGCGCTTCGTAATGCCGGGCTGTCTAGTTCGATCCCTGCTGCGGAAGATTTGTCTTGCGTTGGTTTCGATAGTGGTACCGAGAGTTGACCGTAAGCAATGGCAAACTACTCAAAAAATGCTGAGGTTGGTTCTGCAACGTCCTGTAAAGGATACGCAACTAGGCTTTTTAAAAAAAAATGATATTGCGGTACTGGCAGACTCCTTGATAGATGAGGTTCTGCGGGGAATAGAGGAGTAAGGGAATGAAAGAAAACGGCAATGTTGCATGTGATTGGATGGTGTGAGTTTTGACATTTAAAAAAAAAAGTGTGACATGCCTTCCACTATTATTGGGGTATTGAATACAATGTCTAGATTTTTCAGACAATTATGGACGAACTAAAAGGACATATGTGTATATTCCAAGACCCTAGACAGCTGGAGACTGAACAGAAAAGCAGACGAAATCAGTCAGCTACCCAGAATGTTGTCATTTGCGTATCCTTTACTGGTCATTACAGTTTTAACCAAAGCATTTTTTGTTTTTGTTTTTTGGCTGTTGTGATTTTCTAGGTTTGATATTTAAAGTTAAAATGTGTTTACATATCCTTTACAGAGTGTTCTGTGTTGAGTGTTTTAGCTAAGAACTGACGTCACAGGACTCGGGACATTATTATAAACACTCCGTCTTCATCTTCGGCAGCCAGCGAAGAGTTCCGACCTGCTTTTCCCTCTGAATTAGAGTGTCAAACAGATCCCCTGGACACTCCCAGCTGTACCATTCTCTCTAGATCGTAAAATCCATTCGTGCCCGTGCATTGTTCACTTGCACCCAAAGAGTCTTGAAAACATTTAGCTTGACATGCATAAATTCACCACTCACTTATGCAATATCAGCCATTCTATCTGGCTGTTGCTTTCTTAACACTCCACATTTCGGCAAATTAAAAAAAGGAACAAGCCGGAGCTATACTTAAAGGAAAAAAAAAATTATATGTGGTACAACAATAAACTCAACCTTATGATTAAAAAAAAAAAAAAAATTAACATGTTTAGCTTACCGAGGACATTAGCTTGGTAAAGTTGATGAAGAACGTAAATGTTTCATCCCACACTGGGTTAGGCTCATCTTCTTTCACAGTTGTAGACTTTCTGCCTTCTGGGGAGCTTCTCATCACCAGGTTAATATAAGGATCTGGGATGTCATCTGTGTATGGTAAAACATGTGATATGATGCTTTTTTTTTAATCAAAAGAGTGAAGATACCTGTTCATGTGTGTGGTTATTGCACACTGGGGAGAATCTCCACTTTGGCTTTGTTCCAGGACCTGAGTTTTGCGTTCATCCGTTTTACAGATCTTGGTTATTTGTATACAGACTGTTGGTTCCATGCGTCTCAGACAGATGCACTCCGACTTTGAAGGAAGCTCCCAGTTAGCCGACTCGTACGACTATACTTGTTAGGGAGGCAGTTGGGTCTATTCCTGTTTTTCCCAAAATTCCATCCTGGAACCCACACATGGAGTTGAGGAGGATGATGCAGCGGGGTTTGTCTGCGGGTTCTGGGCGCCACTCCAGAGTCAAGGGAAAGGCAAGACAAGTAGGTAACCAGGGGAACACGGGTACCATCAGTTTTAAAACTCTTCGCTGTCTGTTGTGGGGAGAGACCTGGCTATCATGGGCTTGTTCTGAGTTCTGTGGTGACGAATCCTTATCCAGATAAACTTAGTTTGTACATATGGTGCAAGGCCGAAATGTTCATAGATCAATCATCACTCGATTAGTGAAGCGGTCAAACTCGTGCCGGCTGCCTTTAATTCTCACGATATTTTCACGTCTCTAAGTGTGAATACCAAGGTTCCATTCTAAAGGGGGGGGGGGGGGCGGGCGGGGAGAGAATAGACCCACAGCATCCCTTTGGGATACGTCGTAAAAGGTCAATAATTTGGGATTTTTCCCTTCGAAGTCGGAGTGTATCTGCCTGAGAGGCGTGGAACCAACAGCCTGTATACAAATAAGTAGATCCGAAAAATGGATATGCACGCAAAACCTAAGTTCTGGAACTGAACTAAAATCCAGAAATGGAGGAACAACTAAAACTTTCCACCGGAGTTTACAACCGGTGAGAGCTCAGAAAAAGAAAATTTTCTACGTCCCCGTTTTTCTTCTTCATCTTCACATTCACCGACTGTAAACTCCAGCGGAAATGTCTGGTTGTTCGCCCACTGCTGGACTCTAGCCCTGTTCCAGAAACTGAATGTCGCGCGCACATCCGTGACTCATTTGCATGCAGACTGTTGGTTCCTTGCCTCTCAGTCAAATATATTACGACTTCCAAGGAAGCTTTCAATTAGTCGACTCTTACGACATACTTTTGGGCATGTATTGGTTGTATTCTTGTTTTACCCCACAATGGGGTCCTGAACCCACACAAGTAACGCCCCTGTTTAATACTGGGTCGTTCTAGGAGCCAAGTAGTTTATAAAAATTCTCATTTCACATTTGAACCAAACAGGTTTTTGGTTTAAATTCGTTAGACCAACAAACAACTAGCTAGCCACTATTACCACAGTGGTCTTTATTGTTGTTTTATACGAGTATTAAAATGGCATGTTCAAATGTTGAATACTGAAATGAATTAGGAATCGAGAATATGAGGTGAAAGTGTTTATTTTTATTATTTTTTTTTTTTTTTTAAATAACCCAGTCGGTTTTCGAAGGGGATGTGTACAACATTATGCCGGTCGCTTTTATTTCCCTATGAAGTTACCTGATACCCATTTAAGGCTGAGTCGTCCCGGGATCAAAGGTCATGTATTAGAAAAAAAAATGGGGTCCACGCGGATTTAAACCCACGACTTTCCAATCAGCATGTGTCTAGCCGCTACACCACCAAGGTTCCCACGCTGAATTGTGGCAATAATTTATTATAGTGCAGAAACTTATTCCCCGTGAACAAAAAATGTAGCAATCATGAGAAGGACTGCAAGATTGGTCAATGGAAAAAAGAGATTAAATCATGAATGAGGTCATAACAGAAAAAGTCGGCACATAACAATTTCTAAATTATACACTAAGTCCGCTTATGAAATGTTTTGCACACTCAGAGAGGGATGTCTTGAGGTTTGAACAACGAATCAGCATCATGGCACACGGGTAGAAGCCCATAAGTGTCCCGTTCTTCTTCTAACTCAAACCTGAGTCCGAAGTACCTCAGCGCAGTACACGGGCTCGGTAGCACCGACAAGGTTCCTAAAATATTTTGGGTAGAATTGTTACTGCAAATTTTGCCCGGGCAGCGCCGTTAGCTACTTTTTTTTCGATTTCCAACTGCCAAGGGATTTTTTACGTGCGCAACAATACCCACGGGAGTCCGATCTCACTATTTAGAGACCAGGAGAAATTACTAAGTCCTTCCATGTGAAAAAAATCACCTCTAGCACTCTAGGCAGACACCATACCTCGAGACCACGCAGCCCGCCTAGGGAATGTCTTGTGACGCAATACCATACAAGTTAGTTGTGTATCCTATACAGGACGTTGCAGAACCAACCTCAGCATTTTTTCGTGTGGGCTGTTGTGGTTTTCCTAGGCAAGTTTACGTCCAGTTGTTTGCCATTGCTACTGCACGGTCGGCTCTTTGATACCACTGTCGAAACCAACGCAAGCAGCAAGGCCCGCAGCTGGGATCGAACCCGGCACCCCGGCATTACAAAGCGCGTTCGTAACGCCTAAGCCACAGACGCCGACCATACGCAGACCATACAAGACATAAATCAAAAGAGGAGAAGAACGTAAAGCACAAGGTAGACTAAGAACTAGGGCTGCACCGAATAGTGATTTTCACTATTCGGCCGAATACGAATAGCTGCACCAACTATTTGGGCGAATACGAATACGAATACGAATAGTCAATCATCATCATCAGGTGCTTTGCCGACTGGCATGGGCGATAATGCCTCGCCACAATCTGCGATCTCCTGCAGCATGTATTAGTTCGTGTGCTGACACACCTCCATGCAATGTAACAAGACTGTCAAGAATATTCTCTCGTTGTCTTCCTCTATCCCTTCTTCCACAGATCTGTCCAGTGGTTACAACATGTTTTATTTTCCCTCATCTTATAACATGGCAGAAAAATGATGACTGTCTCCTTCTGATGTCTGTGAGTTGTAGTTTTCGGGCTCCCGCTTCTATCAAAACCTCTTTTTTTTTCTTTTTGCTATCCAATGTATTTCAAGCATTGTTCTGTAAAACCACATCTCTAAGGCCTCAAGTAATTGTTTGACCTGCCTACCGATTGTCCAGGGCTTACAGCCATATGTTAAAACTGAATGTATGTAGCAAGCAAGAATTCTTTTTCTAACCTTCAATGACAAAGATATATTGCATAAGATGTTCTTCTTTTAATAAAATGCAGTTTTTGCCTGTCCTATTTTGTTTCTTATTTCAGTAAAGCATCTTCCATACATAAATTTCTGTACTTGTCCTAAAACAAAACCATTGACTTTTATTACACATTTAGGAATAACTATTTTCTTTGATACCACCATTACTTCTGTCTTCCCACTATTCAAACTGATGCAAATTCTTCCACTTTCATGTATAAAATAGATCTAAAAAAAAAAAAACATCCATAATGTCAAATGTACGCTGAAATTTTACTTCACAAAATTTAGTACAAAATATTAAACATTTAAAAACATTTCATGTTTTTCATCCTTCAGGCAGTCAGTCTGTGGTAACTAATACATAGGAATGAAAGTATTCTTAGATTTATAACAAGTAACTAAACTTGTAAATTGTCATTGACAGCTTAGTTAATCCATGAAGTGTCCTAGCGGCATTAGCTTTCGAAAAAAAAAAAAAGTTTTTTACATATCGTTCCATGTTGTCAAAGCATTAAGGCAGCTTCTTGTCTCATTCTGAAGAGTAGCGGATTTCCCAGCTGTTACTAAACCACCCAGACTGACGTTCACTTGAATCTACGCTCGTGGTAGGTTGTGATACCCAACATAACGCTTGTCAGTATGAAATGTTCCAAGGTGTTTGGGAAATCTTGATATGTTTATTTTCCCCCTGTATAGTCCAGAAATCGGGTGTAGAGGTAACGACTATTTGTATTCGGCCCGAAGAGATGTTACCCTAATTATTAACCTGCAACTATTCGGCCGAGAATACCGAATAGTTATTAGGTCCACTAATCGGCCCCTGACGCGAATGTGCCGCAAACGAGCTACCAGTTACTAGATTAGTGATCGTACAGCCCTACTAAGAACAAAATAGAAAGATACCATCAAAGAAACTTTACAGCAGCATGATGTGCCGATGGTGAAGGCGGCCAGAAGATTAAGAAGCCCAGCCTTATATCCCCATTAATACCCGAAGCGGTAAAAGAAGAAGGGAAGATGAAGAATAGAACAAAATTAATTTTGCTACTTACACAAATCTTGAAAGCCCAGCGTGATGTTACGTCCCTGAAGCACGCGCACAGTTAGAATCAAGCAAGGCGAATGCTGCACCTGATAGTAAAAATATACATGCTACGATTAACAACAAAATAAATATAATTTTCCAGTTGTTACTTGTGACTGATTTTTTTTTCTAAAACTCAACTTATCACTTCTCTTCTATCTTGGGATGTAGGGGTTTGCCAGAAAGATCTCTAGACTCTCTATCAGCAGTTTTCTTTCTGGCGTTGTTTCATTCCAGTCCTCTGTCAATTGGGGACTGTCGGATGTTGTCTTCTCAGCAGACTTTGGGTGACCCTGGAGGTCCAGTGCGCTGGTTCTTAGCCTCCCATGCCTGCGAGGTCCGGCGAATACACGAGTCACTGGCTACAGGTCTGCTCGCGATCGAGCGAAGTAGGCTGATCGGAAAGTGTAAGGTCTGGTGTCTCCAATTTATGTTGATCCTAAAGCTCCCCTGGCCGTTGCTCGTCTACGAAGTGACGATGACGGCAGTTGAGGCAATGGAGCGTAAAATCAACACAGCCACGAGGAAATGGTTGGGAGCATCACCTTGTCTGACTTATGTGGCTCTGTATTGTAAACAGAAAAAGCTGGTACTACCGTTCAAATCAATAACCGAAGAGTTTAAAGTTGGCAAAGTAAGACTCCCGATGATGTTGCGAGAGTCTTCAGACCCCACTGTCACTGCTGTCCAGTCCGCTCTAAAGACAGGTGTCAAATGGAAGGTCCTAGATGCGATTGAATCTGCCCAAGATGCACTGAAATTGAGAGAAGTGATAGGTTACACTCAAACCGACCGTTGAGGCCTAGGGCACAGGAAAAGTCAGTTGCTGGTCCAAAGCCAAGGCCAAAGAGCGCCGTGACATGGTGATACAGCAGATTAGGGACACAGAAAACGAGGTTCGGGTTCAAAAACCGAGCAACAGTCGCAGCAAGGCCAGTGGATCGGCCTCGAGAGCGCCTTGCCACGAGTACTCACATGGGGTGAGATCTGGCGAATTGCCCCGCTGCGACTGAGCTTTATCGTACGATCTGCCTACGATGTATTACCGTCCGGTGTCAACATGGTCAAATGGAGTGCGACTAACGACCTGACATGCCCGCTATGTAAAGCTAAGCAGATGCTCGATCACGTATTGTTCGTGTGCAGAAAAGCCCTAGGTCAGGGTAGATTTACGTGGCGCCATAACAAGGTCCTGAAAGAGTTAGCGGTCGTTTTGGACAAAGCTAGGATGAGGGCCAATGCGACGGCCGTCCTACCGTCGTCCCCGTGCGCTTCCTCAAGGATGGGCAGATTTATAAAGGTAGATACAACAAGGTTGCACACGCACCATCGATGCTTGATTGTGCGAGGGACTGGTTACTGGCGGTTGACCTGCCTGGTCACGAAAAATACAGAGTTAATCCGGAAGATTGGCCTGCGACCCGACATAGTGCTACACTCTGCGGAGAAACGACAGCTTATTCTGATCGAGCTGACCGTGCCATATGAGTCGCTAATGGATGAAAGCCCCATGTACAAGCTCGAGAAGTACAATGACAGCGGCTGGTCTGAGGACAGACGAAGCGTACACAGTAAGAATCTTCGCCGTCGAGGTAGGCGCAAGAGGTCTCGTTTCCACTTCAATGTACAATGTGATAAAACAACTAGGCTTTGCGAGGAAATTAGCGCAAACGATCACTAAAACAACCGGGCGAGGCTGCAGAGAGGGCATCGAGCTGGCTCTGGACACAAGGGAACGTCGTGGGGGATGGGTCTCGGTGAGCTGGTCCAGGTATCTAGTGGAAAAGAAAGTCTTATCCCTTAAAGTCCATCGTGTCCGAATTGTCTGGCGCTGTCCCTCTGCCATCTGCCTACAAAGTCTAACATGTGTCCGATAAACCAACTGTAAGCTTGCCACTTGGACGTCCAGGTAAGCTGACTGCTCTAATTATGCTACCGCAGCGACTATGTAAATACACTTCGAATCTCACAGTACCTTGTGCACGGTCACCAATTTCGTCTTGTCCCTGTCCGAGAACATCTGGTAAAACGTGCAGCAGGAGCAGATCAACCCTGAGCTTCATGAACTCAGGTGGGCCTACTCTCTGAAAAATGTCTAGGAACTCGTGGGCCGAAACATTTGTCGACGAGAGATCACTTCTACTGATGATTGGTAGACTCCTGCTGTATATGCTCCCCTGTAGAGTTTTTTTTTTTTTTTTTTTTTTTGCTTTTTTTGGATGTAGGGGTTTCCCAGAAAGATCGCTAGACTTCTTTATCAGCCGTTTTCTTTCTGGCTTTGTTTCATTCCAGTCCTCTGTCAATTAGGGACTGTGGGATGCTGTCTTCCCAGCAGACTTTGGGTGACCCTGGAGGTTTGGTTCTCTGGTTCCTAGCCTTCAGTGCCTGCCATGGTGGCCGATTTTCTCCCATTCTGTATACATGTCTTGAATATAGTAACTGTGACTGATCTACTCAAGTTTGCATGGCCTGAGTTTCAAGACCTTAGCGTATTTTCTGGTTGCGAACTTTGTCCATTCTTATGACTGGAATTGTAACGTTATGGAATAGTTATTTGGTGTCCAGTGTTAACTGATCATAGATCTTCTAAATATTTTTTAACATTAACCGACTATTCTTCTTTTTAGCCTTTACAGGCAGTAAACTCATACTTATTGGTATGCAGTCTGTCGGTTCCTGCCCTATCAAGCAGAGGCACTCCGATTTTGGAGAAAACACCCCTAATTAGTCGCCTCCTACGACATGCTTGTTAGGGGCAGTGGGTCAATTCTTTATTCTCCAAAACGTAGCTTCTGAACCCATTCACCAGCTGTAAACTCAGGCATAAAGTTGTTTTCCGTCCACTTCTGAACTGTGCTCTTGCTCTAAAACTTCAATTTTGCCTGCACATCTGTTTTACAAATCTGGGTTCTTTGTATCCAGACTGTTGGTTCCTCGTCTCTCAGGCAGATGCACTTCGACTTTAAAGAAAACCCCCTAATTAGTCGACTCCTACGACATGCTTCTTAGGAAGGCAGACGTCCACCCACCCCCGCCCCTCCCCTACAGTCGGGCCCCGGAACCCGCACGGGAAATCAGTAAAGTTGAAAATGAACACCAAGTTCGACGTCTGTGAGAGGCATACACGAGAACGCCACTTTCATTGAGGTCGCCTAAGGCCATCGGAAAAACTTATTCACTCAAGATTTGAAGTAGCATCTAAAATATTGTTATGGTTGGGGGGTCACCACTATATATGGAACCTTATTAAAGGGTCGCGGCATTAGGAAGGTTGAGAACCACTGCTTTATTCGAGGGGACTAAACCCCCATGCTCCGGCTCCCCTGTATGCAAGTATTATTAGGAAATGGCTAGCCGACCGATTAGAACGATGGGCTTTCATGTGGTATACCTGACTATGAACTCTCGTTGAGGTTACAGGCTGTGTTTTTTTTTTTTTTTTCGAGGGCAACAATAAAATTATTACCCTTACAGTCCGTGGCTGACAGCACTAGTCGTGCGGTCCTAAACTGTCAGGCTCAAAGTCTCCTACACCCCCCCCCCCCCCCCCCCCCCTCCCGGCGCATAAACCACAAAAGTGGGGATATACAGTCAGATCGCCACGTTACCTTACCACTACTGATGCCCAGCAGCCAACTCGTCCTGCAGCACCACTATTATAGTATCATTTAATATTGCTTCTCTCTCTCTCTCTCTCTCACTCTCTCTCTCTCTCTCTCTCTCTCTCTCTCTCTCTCTCTCTCTCTCTCTCTCTCTCTCTCTCTCTCTCTCTCTCTAGCCGAAATGTTCACTTGTCGTTTGTGATTGCGATAAAGTAAGGCTGACTACTTCTACGTTTCGTTCGGTTTGATATCTTTTTGCGTGTCTTGTCAGCTGATGTGGTTACGGTGGTGATCTGGTAACGGTTTCGCTGCCTGAGCTCCTGTGTTAAGTGCTTGGTGCAGCACTGTGATTTGTCTTTTTCGTGTGGAATGCCTTTCATTGATACAACGGCTAAGTTATGGTATTTAATATGGCTGGTAGCCGGTTTACGTGTGGGCTGGTGAAATGCCTACAGCGTTTGTATAGCTAGCTAGCTTATCGTGTCCAACTACTTTCATCAACGACAAACTTCATTTCTGGTAGCGACTGTTGACTTTGGCGTCACTGGCAACTGCCATGTGCATTTACTGCCATATTTCTGTATTTTGCCAGGATTAATTTTTTTGTTCATATGTTTTTCAAATGGGACATTTTATTTGATTTTCACCGGCACAGGAACGGAGCAAGAATAGGGTGACCAGATTACAGCGAAGCCGAAACATCGGCAAAGACTTAGACCATATCTGGTATTTTCCGTGTGCAGGAAAGCCCTAGATCTGGGTAGATTTACGTGGCGCCATAACAACGTACTGAAAGAGTTAGCGGTCGTTTTGGACAAAGCTAGGATGAGGGCCAATGCGAGGGCCGTCCTACCGTCGTCCCCGTGCGCTTCCTCAAGGATGGGCAGATTTATAAAGGTAGATACAACAGGGTTGCACACGCACCATCGATACTTGACTGTGCGAGGGACTGGTTACTGACGGTTGACCTGCCTGGTAACGAAAAGTACCCAGAGTTAATCCGGAAGATTGGCCTGCGACCCGACATAGTCCTACACTCTGCGGAGAAACGTCAGCTCATTCTGATCGAGCTGACCGTGCCATATGAGTCGCTAATGGAGGAAAGCCCCATGTACAAGCTCGAGAAGTACAATGACAGCGGCTGGTCTGAGGACAGACGATGCGTACACAGTAAGAATCCTTGCCGTCGAGGTAGGCGCAAGAGGTCTCGTTTCCACTTCAATGTACAATGTCATAAAACAACTGGGCTTGCGAGGAAATTAGCGCAAACGATCACTAAAACAACTGGGCGAGGCTGCAGAGAGGGCATCGAGCTGGCTCTGGACACAATGGAACGTCGTGGGGGATGGGCCTCGGTGAGCTGTTCCGGGTATCTAGTGGAAAAGAAAGTCTCATCCCTTAAAGTCCATCGTGTCCTAATTGTTTGCCGCTGTCCCTCTGCCATCTGCCAACGAAGTCTAACATGTGTCGGATAAACCAACTGTAAGCTTGCCACTTGGTAATTTCCGGGTGAATTCGTCGATCCGTGTGCTTAAAGTGTTCAATGTCAAACGGTGTTTTGAATCATCACTAGTTGTCAGCATGTGTTTGCATCTCCATAGGCTTCCTTCAGTTTTTTTAAGTATCTTTCAGACTGTCTTGCGTGTATGAACGGCACAATATAATGATAACGATGATAATGCAGATAGTCTGTTTTTTGTTTAGTCAGTCTTTATGGACCATGGAGCTTTACCGCTGGTTTTGGGAACAGTTTTTATGACTTTAAAGTCTTTTTAAAAAAGTAATGAAGATGTTTTAAACGAAACTGGCTTAGGAAGAGAACTGATTGCACACTTCAGAAAGAGCCAATCTACATTCTTTGGTCATGTGATGAGAAGGAGAAAGGTGGAGTACATCGTGACATAGGAAAGTTAGAGGGTGGGTGGGGTTAGGGGGTGGGGCAGAGGGAGACCGAGAGAACAGATGCTGGACAGTTTGACACCATGGCATGGAAGATCATCTGTGTCAGAGTTGACTGAAAGTATACGAGACAGACAGGAGGTTGTGGATAGACATGACTGCCAACGCCACACGGCATGGACTCTAAGAAGAAGAAGAAAGTCCTATGCCGGAGTTACAGTCTCTGCACATAGTCCACACACAAATATTGATACTCTCTCATTTTGAGGCTGGTTTTCTCCCAGACGTCTACTCTCGATAAAGTAAGTAAAGATCCCTTGTCCACGCCTTTAGCCGTATAGGGAATATAGGGCTGGACCTATATTTTTATGAACAATCGGCACTTGGAGAGTGCCCATTACTTTACCTCCCAGGACTGCACCTGGTACCCGCTCATGGCTGGGTCGACATGGGAGTCAAGGTCCCACCACCCTTCGATCCGCAGGCGGGCGTCTAGCCGCCAACGCCACCCTCTCTATAAAGTTAGTTGCCTAAGTTTTATAGAAAGTGACCGAACCAACCCCAGCATGTTTCGGCTGTTGTGGCTTATCTAGGCGCATTTTGAGTTCAGGAGTTTGCTACCACTTTCTATAGCTTGCTACGTTTAGCCTCTTGCAAACTGCGGCACTGTCTGCCTGAAGGTGGTTTATAACTGATCTCTCCAAAGTGTCTGGGCTAATGTTAGTATTATTTTCAGGCCGCGTTTGCATGTCTTTGTAGAATACCACTGGCATTCGTGCGGATCTTATCCCTGCTATAAGCTCACGATACAGGAGATCATTTGGAATGCTACCGTTTTTCATGCCACAGACATGGCCCAGCCAACGCATGCATCTTTGTTTCAGCAGAAAGTGCCTTGTTGGCACCCCTGCTCTCTTAAGTAAACATTTGTTGGGGGGGGGGGGGGGGGGTTGTCTATTACCAAAGTATTCCCCAAATGGGATGCACTTCTTCGGTATTTTGAAGCCCCAACAGGTTTTTTTCCGTGGTAACAGCCTAACGTATAACATAACGGTTGAAAGCGGTTTCTGTGACCTCTCCACGGGTGATCATTATCCGTATTTGGCACTTTGTGTCACCGGGTGCTTATCGCTTGTGTGATGTCCTGGTGCGGTAAAATTTACTTACTTACTGCTTGGGAAAAAGGGGGGGGGGGTATGTCTATTAGACCACTAGCGAGGGGTTGTAACGATTAGTAGTAGTGGCGATAAGGCATCGTACACATAGAAGTGTGGATGGATAAACTCTCAAATGTTTTGTTAATTACGAGTTGACTTACCTCAAATACTTGATATGGGTCACAGCTGAAACAAAATAGAACATAATAAACTTAAAACTGAATACTGGCTCTTCAGAAGCTTGGTGCACTAACTTAAACAAATTTTACAGAAAGATGAAACAAATAATTTCTATATAATCATTTATACGTCCACTTTATTAATGTTCCGAAAGTTAGTATTATTGTTATTATTATTGTTGTTGTTATTATATATATATATATATATATATATATATATATATATATATATATATATATATATATATATATATATATATATATATATATATATATATATTGGTATTTTGTGTGTGTGTATGTATCGAAAAGTGTTTGAAAAGATCCTCAAAACGAGTGGTGTGTATTGCATCTGCTTCTGTACTTAGAGAAAAGGCATCCAGCTTGCTTTGTTGCACTGTTGTTCTAGTGGGATTTTTTGTTTGTTGGTTGGTTGGTTCTTCAAACTCAACTCAACAGAGAAAGTAAACACTCAGCCTCCTAGGCTAATTACAATTTTCCTGATGCCCCTTTCCTTTGTGATGCCCTTAGCATGTGCTTAGTGTGCTTATTGGTTAAACTGGTCATGTGCTTACTCTTTACAGGACATTGCAGAAATAAAAGCATTTAAAAAAAAAAATAAAAAAAATTTCATGATTTCCTACGCAGTTTTACGTTCAGTAGCTTGCAACTGCCTTGCAGTGGTTCAGGATTTGGGGGGAGGGGGGGGGGGGGGGGGGGCAGGTTTTGAGGTCCCCTTACACACACACATTTGTACGACTCCCCAGCCCCATCGTTATTATTAAACAAGGCTTAGGTTTTTTGAGGCACCCATAGAAAATGGGGAGTCGCCGTGGCCGAGCGGCTAGACGCTCGCTGCGGATCGGAAGGTCGTGGGTTCGCTTCCTGGCGGAGCCGGACTTTCTTCAAAAATGACCTTGGCTCCTAGGTCGACCCAGCCTTGAGTGGGTACCGGATGCAGTCCCGGGAAAATGAAGGCGGCCGGAGTGATACTGACCACATCACCCATCTTGTACCGATAGGTCTATAAAAATATAGGTCTAGCCCTATATGCCCTATACGCCTTAAGGCGTGGAAAAGGGTCCTTTATTTTTTTTACATAGAAAATGTGTAATAGAGCCACCACAACACCCCTCCCCCCACCCCACTCCCCTTCCCACCCCCAACCACGTGACTGCTTGTAGCCTGTGCTTTTTTAAGAAGAATACCAATGTGAAACTACACTTATTAGGAGGCTGTGTGGTCTAGAGGCATGGTGTTCGCCTCCAGTGCTACACTTTCAGAGTTCAATCCCTGGTAAGGGCTGAGATTTTTTCACGTGGACTTGTACTTATAATAATTCTCCCTGTCTCTGGGTAGTGAGATCTGACGCCCGTGTGCATTGTTGCGCACGTAAAAAAATCTCTTGGCAGTTGGAAATTGAAAAGAGTAGCCTAACGGCGCTGCCCGGGAAAAAAATTTGGAGTTAAAAATCTGCCCAAAGCATTTCAGGATCCTCGCCGGTGCTACAGGGCCTGTGCACTGTGCTGAGCTTCTTCGGACTCAAACTTGAGTTAGAAGAAGAACAGAGCACTTATAGGTTACTACCCGTGTGTCATGATGTTGGTCCGTTGTTCAAAAACCACACAAAATAAAAAACAAATCACACTTATATTAATAAGCTTGGGTTTGAACCCCCATCGAGCGGATGTTTATAATTGTGCTGAGTTCCCACATCGACTCAGTTTTAAATGGATATCATGAAATGTGCTGAGAAGTAAACTACAACTACACCACCTATTGTAATGCTGACCACATCACTCATCAAGCGCCGATCTGTCTGTAAAATAGGTCTAGTCCTATATGTTCAACACGCCTAAAGGCACGGACAAGGGTCCTTTACATAGATCATTCACAACCTGTCGATCTATTCATAGAGATACATATCATATGTCATAGTCATCAATTGCGCACTTTAAAAAAATGTACAATTATAATAAGCAGTTCATTAAATAATTATTCCCGGCCTGAGATGTACCAGATCAGCGGTTCTCAACGCATGGGTCTCGACCCTTTTTGGGTAGAACAACCGTTTCACATAGGTCGCCAAAGACTATCGAAAAACACATTCACTGAAGCTATGAAGCAGCAACGAAAATAACTGTATGCCTGAGAGGTGGCCACAACATGAGTCACTGTATTAAAGGGTCGCCGTATTAGGAAGGTTGAGAACCACTGTAGAAGATAAATGACGCCAGCTCAGTATGTAAGGTCCTGTGGGTGAGTGGTCAGAATGTATGCCCGCTGCATTTACTTTTTAAGATTCTTCCGTTACCAACTTCCTTCCCCCGTGTGGGTTCCGGGGCCCTATTATAGGGAAAACAAGAATAGACCCACTGCCTACCCAAAAGCATGTCGTAAGAGTCGACTAATTGGGAGCTTCCTTGGAAGTCGGAGTGCATCTGCCTGGGAGGAAAGGAACCAACAGTCCGCACACAAATGCGTCAGATCTGTCAAACGGATGCACACGCAACACGCAGATTTCGGAACAGGACTGCTGTCCAGAGGAGAACGAACAACCAGAACTTTCCACCAGAATTTACAGCTGGTGAACGCAAAGAAGAAAGAAAACAAACTTCCTTGAAACGACCACATAAAACAGTCACGAGTAGACCAGATAATAACATAGATAGAAAGAAATGAGATGATAGAGTCACAAATGTGGAGCTCTAGGTAAAAAGTAAACAAATCCAAATGAATCAAAAGGTTCGAAAAAGACACTGACCTTGGATGGGATAAAACTGAAAACAATATAAGTAGAGTGTCTTTGCACTACAATCTACAGAGACAGTGCAATAAAGGTACGAGATGGGAAAAATACAAGGAGAATAGACCTAGAGAGGAAAGTTGAAAAGATAGGGAGGATAAAGACATTGCTAAGTGAAGCATAGACACGGATACAGTAGACAGAGACATGGTTAAGCTAGATAGGAACATTGCTAGTTGAAACATAGACATGGATACAGTAGACAGAGACATGGCTAACCTAGATAAAAACATTGCTAGGTGAAACGTAGACATGGATACAGTAGACAGAGACATGGCTAAGCCAGATAAGAACAGTGCTAGGTGAAACATAGACACGGATACAGTAGACAGAGACATGGCTAAGCTAGATAAAAACATTGCTAGGTGAAGCATAGACATGGATACAGTAGACAGAGACATGGCTAAGTCAGATAAGAACAGTGCTAGGTGTAAACATAGACATGGATACAGTAGACAGAGACATGGCTAAGCCAGATAAGAATATTGCTAGGTGAAACATAGACATGGATACAGTAGGAGTAAGCCAGATAAAGACGTTTACATCACGTTAATTGTTTTTTGTCAGTTGCAGTATTGAAATTTGAATCAGAGCATGGTAGGATTTTCGGTTAACACGAATATTAGTTTCGATCCTTTGGGCTGGTACAAGGTTTACTGTAATAGTATACTGAAAATTAAATTGTCACTACTGTTTGTGTTCACCACTTTTTGTGTCGGTGTAGCCTAGGGGGAAAAGGGGTGTGGGTTGTCGTGAGCCTGTTGTTTCAGGGCCGCATGTCTAGTGCTGTCGCCACGCACTGTGACAGTCAGGATGTTTAATTTTGTCCCCCGACAACAACAAAAAACTCCATCATTTTACCGGGGATCAAACTCAGGTCTCCCGCATGACGTTGTAACTGCTCGGTCAACCGCTCATCTAATTAGTATACTAGATGGTTATTTATTTTGAACTCCCAGGACAACAGATCTAAACTTCACGAAGAAGGGAATCAGGGATGTAAGAACAACCTGTGTAGGACATGAAATTAGATGCAGACGAAGCGAAAAATGTGCAGATTGACCTGACCTGGTTGAGGATCTATTTTTACACGGGATAAAAAAAAAATGGAAACAGCTATAAGCACAGTTACGTACACACATTACTGTACAAACCTTTGAGGCACATCATCTAATTCCATCGATGGTCCCTGTACGTTAACATCCATCGTTCCGTTTCTTCGCTTCTACTGTTCCAATACTGGCATAAACACACGAGCAAGCTAGGTTTTAAAGTCCCTATACTTAGAGCAAAAACGTGTGCAAGTCGCTAGCTAATAAACGAATTATCTACGCTAGATAAATCTTGGAGATGCATATTATATATATAAACTTTTAAATGTCAACCAGCGGTTCCAGTACATTATTAATATCCACCGTTCTGTTTCTTCGCTTCAACCGTTCAAAATACTGACATAAACACTTGAGTACCTTAGGTTCAAATTTAAAGGTCTCTTTTATACTTTAAGCAACAAGTGTGTAAATTGTTGGTGTAGTGCACGCATATCTACGCTATAGAAATCTTGAAGATGCATACTAAATATATATATTTTTCAAATATCCACAGTGTGTGATTCAAAACGTTTACAACTCGTCATTTCACTTATTGCCTCGCCTTCTTTCTTTAAAATACGTCACGGCCGATAGCCTCGTACATAGTTCAGGACCTGGCTCTAAACAAGAATATATTTTGTATACGGCAAAGTATTTTCAAAGATGTAAGCTAAAGCAAACGTGTATCGTACAGCACAGATATTTGCGACCAAACAAAAAATGAAAAGAAAGCCTGAGCCAGTGGAAAAGAATAGTTTAGGTAGGCGGTGTGTTTTATTGTACGTGTACATGGAATGGGTAGATGGTCACGCTATCTTGATTCTTTTCAATCATAACCGAGTTTCACAGCTGTTTGTACTACGCGAAGCGAATTATTGATTCACTATTGTCCGCGAATCAGAATGTACACAGTGTAATAACAATACCACCATCTCTTACTTTTCATCATTCTTCTTGTATTCTTACTTCTCTTGTTCCGTTTTCCTTTTTGCTTAGATTGTCTTATTCTTATTCCCTTCTCCTCCTCTCCTTCATCATCATCTGCTTCTTGTCCTCTTCTTCGTTCCCCTCTTCCTCCTCCTCTTTTCTCTTCTTTTTTCTTCTTCTTCTTCTTCTTCTTCTTCTACTTCTACTT